CACCAACATTATGTCCAGGCGTCGCCCCGCCCCACCCTCCGCTCCCTCCCCCGCCCGCATACGGATTGGGCGTCCGCGAGCTCGCGCCCCACGCGCCGCCATCTCCCGAAGCGTACGGATTAGGCGTCTTAGAGCTCGTCGCCCACGCCGGCGTCTTGCCGCCCGCATTCGCGTCAGCATACGGGTTCGGCGTGCGTCCGCCGCCCCAGCCGGGCGTCTTGCCGCCGTTGTCGGCGTACGGGTTGGGCGTCTTGCCCCCGCCCCAGCCGGGTGTGCGCGCGCCGGACTGCGCGTAGGGGTTGGGCGTGCGGCCGCCGCCGAACCCGCCGCCGCCGCCTCCGCCGAATCCGCCGCCGGGTGCGCCGCGGGGAGGACCCATGTTGCCCATGGGCCCTTCGAGAGGCTCGAGCGAGCCGTTCGGACTATCGAAGAAAAAAGCGTCAGCTCAACCATCGACAAAGGACGAGAAATGTCAACATCAACGTACTTGCGCCGCTTCAGCTTCTCCTTATCAATAGTGACCACTTTATTGCCCGTATTAAGCTCCACGCGCGCAATAGGCCCATTCGTATCCTTGATAATCCCGATATAGCCCTTATGCGGGCCCTTGATGACCGTGACCGCAACACCAATAAGCCTGTCCCGCGGCCCGCGCCCGATGTTGCCCGACCCGACCATCCCGCCGCCGCTCATGGCGGGGTTCATCTTCGAGAGGTCGGTGCCGGGCTTCAGGGCGTTGCCTTTGGGCGCCAACGAGGCGAGCGAGCGCGCGCGCGTGACGAAGACGCCGCCGTTCTCGGTGATGTCGCGGTTGTGCAGGAAGGCGAAGAAGGATTGGTGGATGTGCAGGACGCGTCCTTTGCGGCCCTGCATCGGATACGATCAGCAATCTTGGTCTCTGGAGCAGACGTGAGGGGAGATATCTTACTTCGCCGTCGACCTCTTTGACGTTGTCGTTCACGCGCAGTTCGTGGCCTTCCGAGTCCGTCGCAATCGCGCGGTTCGAGTCGCGGCGCATGGTGATTTGGTGGGGCTGGACGTGGCGCACTTGGCCGTTCTGATCGAGCACGCGGAAGGAATCGCGCTCGGTCTTGTAGATGACACCGACCGTCTGCTGGCTGTACAAAGTCCATCAGTAAGACCGAAGTGGATATGTAGTTTAGATTTAGATGTACATACTCGAGCTGGACGAGGTCGTGGAGCTCGTAGTTGCCGACAGTGTTGGTGCTAGCGCCGACCTCGGAAGCCTCGCGAAGATCCTTCGCGAACACAGACACCTACGCGAACTCGTCAACCCGTAACCCACGCGGGAAAACACAGCGCATCGTACCTCCTGCATCGACAAGTCCGAGATGAACGTGACGACGTTGTCCGACACCGAAACGACGAGACCGCTCTCGTCCGCGTTCTTGCCCGACATAACCTTGACGTGGTCTCCAGGCTCGAACGCCTTGCGCACGCTGCGCGCGGGGACCTCGATAGACTGCTCGTCGCCGACCTCGAGGTCCTTCGGGCGGATCGTGACGATGTCCTGCGAGATGGCCTCGACGATACCCTTGACGCCGGCCACCTCGCCCTCGAACACCTCGACCTTATCACCGGGCTGCAAGACGGAGATGGCCGCCTTCCGGCTCGCCTCGGCGATGATGGAGAGGTCCACGGCGTGCTCGCCCTCGCCACCGTCCGCGCCCCGGGCGAAACGGGTGATCTCGTCGAGCGTGGGGTTGACATCCTCGAGCACAACACCGGACAGCTTGTAGTCCTTCTCGATAAAGCCGTCCTTGTACGTGTCGTTCTGGAAGACGTAGACCTGGTTACGCTTGGCGACCATCTTGCGTCCATAGGCCTTGATGACCTCCTCGTAGTTGAAGAAGCGCTGCGGCGGGCGCACACCCGTCGCAGCGGGCATCCCCTTCTTGCGCTTCTTGCCCTCCAGCACGTCGTCCTTCGGGTTGAGGTCGATGCGCGGGATAAACTTCAGCCCGACCTCCTCGCCGTTCTCCGTCATGTCCATGACCTGCGCCAGGTCGCCCTGGTACTTCCCGCGCCGGATGCGGACCCAGCTCCCGGGCGTGACGGTGATCTCCTGCTTCTTGATCTGTAGCAGACTGCTCATTTCGTCGATGGGGACGAGGATGATGCCGCGGGAGGGGTAGACGCCGACGAGGCCGTCGATGGCCTCCTTCACGTTCTTCTGGCTCCGCGCTTCGACGTAAATTATGCCAGGCAGCGAGTCACGCTGGAAGGCGGACAGAATCTGAAGCTCGTTGAGCTGTCCGTCACGGTCGAGGGCCTTGCGCATGAGACTGAATATGATGTCGCGTTCGCGGCCAGGCTATAACCAAGCGTGTGAGCGCGCCACCCGTGTATAAAATATACGATATAACAAACCTTTACGCGGACTTGCCATAGATTGGGGTCGCTCACGTCGGGCATGAGCAGACGCTGTGGAACGTCGTTCATGTCGCCGCCGGTGTAGTGCGCCGCCGTCCGCCTACTGCGTTGGCTGATGTCCGCCGCGATGCGTTCCAGGTCCTTGTCGTCCAGCTCACGGTCTCGCCTATCGAGCCGAGCATGATGCAGTGACCTTTGCGCAATATCGTCTTCTTCTCCCTCGGCGCCACCCTCGGCAATGAATCCATCTATACATGGGAATGTGAGACTCGACGCGGACTATAATAAAGTCACGGGAACGTACCGCGCGCAAGTTCCGCCTCGTCTTCGTCGTCGTAGTCCTCCTCGTCATCGTCCACCACAGCCTCCACATCGACGAAGCGGTTCACGGCGTTCCTGCGCTTGTGGGTGCGCTGTAGTACGGTTACGAATTGTGGAATATATGTCATACGCGCGAAAGGCGAACCTTTTGGCGTTTCTTCCCTCTTGACCGGCCCTCGTCCTCTTCATCCTCTTCCTCCTCGTCATCGTCCTCATCATCATCATCGTCGTCGTCGTCCTCTTCCTCATCATCATCTTCCTCCCCTTGTACCGGCCGAGCTTGTTTGGTGGCGGGCGCCCCGACCTCCTCCATATCCTCATCTTCTTCTTCGGCCTGAACCGGGTCGGAGCCCGCAGGCTGCATGTCGTGGTCCTCCTCAATGTCGGACATGGTAGTGGTAGGAAGCAAGCGCTGGAGAGCCCGGTGTAGTGGTGGGCAGAGGACAGGTCGCGTCTCGGATATTCGGCGCGGGTTGGATTCGCGTGGAGGACCGTGCGAATGCTTTGATTGCGCTCGAGGCCACGACGGACGCTTGCTCGTCGTGTTTCTTTCCTTCCACCGTGGCCCGGAGACGGAGATTGCGTACGGATGCAGCATAAACTGCTTCGGGGTCGAAATAAATTCAGCGCTCTGTTGGATAGAGTAGAAGCCCTGCTCTACGCGGGTTCAATGACGCAGCTAGTAGACCTTCACGTAGCGACTGTCTCGTGGCTCGCATATATACATACCCTGTACATCACACTTTTCCTTTTGCTCTTGTTCTTATGCGTGGCGAAAGTATGCGGCCATCGTATGACACCATGTACTCAGCTCGCCCTCGTTGCGTGTCGCTCATCGCGTCGCCGCGTCATTCCACGCTCGGGGACCGCAATCGATTCTTCCTTCAATACCTTCGCAACGAGCGTCGCATTGTAGCTCGCGAGCTCATCTGTCCACGAGTCTCGCCCATAGCTGCTGAGAGCCAATTGAAGATATACTGCCCGTGGCAGAAATGGTCTCACGTGAAACAGGCCTTAGCGCGCGCTAAAATCCGTGATGCGCTACCGTGACGATGACGCGCCCGCGCGATTTCGTCCCGCCGTCGATCTGCTGCCCGTGCGCGCCACCTCGACAGACGTCCAACTTACCAGCACACAAAATGCTGAGACAATACGAGGCATGCTTTCTGCATCTTGCGCTCGTCGTCTTGTCCTGGGACGAATACTCTTGTCTGCCCGTCTGAACCGATCAACTACGCTCAGTATGCCGAGGAAACGTTCTGCTCGCGATGTGGCGACTTCCGCGACTGTCGACGCGCCTCCAGGAGCGGCGACGGATGCCCTTTTGGTCGCCATCACTGAAGTTGCGGACTCTGCGGAAATACTCGGCCGACGCGTCTCCTCTCGGATACGCGCGAAGAAGGACGAAGTCGTCAAGACCGAAGCCGACGCTGCCCTAGGAGAAGATGCGGAGATGTCGCCGTTGAGCGCGCCCGAGGAGGAAGAAGAGCCGCCGAAGAAGAAGAGGAGGCGTACGAAGAAGAACGCGGAGCCAGAGGTGTACGAGATTGAGCCTGTCGAGACGAAGACTACGACTTGGCGAGGTGCGTACACTACTCCATTCATACGACATCTCAGGGACTGACTGGGCTCAAGGGCGCCTGGGATACGCGTGTCTGAATACTATACTGCGCAACGCGAAGCCCGACCCGACGTTCTGCAGCCGCACTTGTCGGCTCGAGACCATCCGCAAGAACGGGCTTGAGTTCGCGAAGGACCTTGGCAAGCAGAACGCGCGAGACCTTGTGAAGCTCATTCAGGTGCGCGACTGATTACACGCGCATGTGCTGTATACTGACATCATCGCTCGTAGTGGAACGAGGAAAACAAGTGAGTGTAGTCATGTCGACTAATTCAACAGCGCTCATGTGGTGCGCACTAGCATACGCTTTCTACGCGTATCCTCGGAGATGTTTCCCTTCGCATCGCACGACAAGCAGGGGTACACTTTGGACTATGCGGCGGAGGAGCTACGGGTGCGTCCAGTCCAAGGGTCTCGCATACATCTGCTGACTTACTGCTGCAGGCCGCCGGCGATCTCGCCAATAAACTTGGGCATAGGCTTACTTCGCATCCGGGCCAAGTCAGTACTTCTGCTATCGTCTCAGTGGTCGGAGCTGATGCGGTATCGTAGTTCACTCAGCTAGGCTCGCCAAGGCCGAATGTCGTGACGGCTTCCATGCGCGAGCTCGAATGTGAGAGCCCCTTTGTTGTTCTCCATGTCACAGCTAACACGCGATAGACCACACTTCAATGTTTGAGCTCATGGGCATCGGCAAGGACGGCGTCATCATCATCCACATGGGCGTACGTCGTCGACAACCTTAACCTGTCCACGTCGGCGCTAATGTAACTCTGCAGGGCGTCTATGGAGACAAACCGTCCACTCTGGAACGCTTTAAGGAGAACTACAAGAAGCTGCCGGATAATGTTAAGGATCGGCTGGTGTTGGAGAACGATGAAGTGAGTCCGGCTTCTGAGCACGGTGATGTCTATTGACTGACATTCTTAGATGTGTTACAATGTCGATGACTTGTTGCCCGTGTGCGAGGAGCTCAATATCCCCATCATCGTATGTGCATCATGCCTATAGTCCTTCTGTTCACTCTCTAACCGCGCTCTACAGTTTGACTACCACCACGACTGGATATACGTACGTCGCCGTCCCCCGTCATAACACCTTTCACACTAACCATCGCGTCAGCCCTCCTCCCAACCTCCCGAACTCCTCCTCCCCCGCATAAACGCCATTTGGCACGCGAAAGGCATCCGCCCCAAACAACACCTCTCCTCCCCGCGCCCCGGCGCCGTATCAGTAATGCAACGCCGCGCGCACGCGGGCCGCTGTCCCAGGCTTCCCGAAGCGCTCGATGTGGAAGGTGCAGGGTGGTGGTGGGCGGGCGAGGGGGAGGAAAGGCACAAGGAGTATACCGACTTGATGGTCGAGGCGAAGGATAAGGAGCAGGCGGTGTTCGAGCTGCATAGGCGCTACGAGCTTCAACCGGTCGTCTGGGGAAATCTGCGTCCGGCTAAGCCGGATCCGCCGTTCGACGCGCCTTCGCCGGCGAAGAAGCGTTCTGCGAAGAAAGGTGCGGCTTCACTCTACACTGGACTAAGTTTGGGTTGCTGACTGTGACTGTGTGTATAGCTGCTGAGGCGAACGAGGAAGGCGATGTGGACGGTGCTGGGGGTGTTGAGCCTGAAGAAGCGGGCGGCGGGTTGGGGCCTGACGAGGATACTGTTGTCGAGGTCGATAGTATGTCGCAAGCGGGCGGTACGCCAAGTCCGCTGAAGCGCACGCGCTCGGCGCGCAAGAAGGTGGATGTTGTTGAAGAGCAGGGTGCGTTTGGCTCTTATTGGGCACTGTTCTTATGTGCTGATCTGTGATTGTAGATGATGCGCTTCCGTCGCCGCCGTCGCCGCCGACAAGGAGGCAAAGCTCGCGTCGTGCTCCTCTTGCTGAGGTGGAAGCCGCTACGTGAACTGCCTGCTCTATGTGCACTCTCGCGTGGCTCATTGACGGGAGTTTGTCTATCTTGGACGTTCAAGTACTCTCCATGTACTGTATTATAGTTTTAGTAATGCCACCCATTTGCTGGCGTCGCGCGCGCATCAGGCCGCAGGGCTGCATACGTCAACTCTCGATCAGGCTCATGTAGTGCATTACTATTGCATTGACCCTCCAACAGTACAATCCACACATGCTAAGCCCAGGGGAACCAAGACGAGGTGTACCTCAGAAAGACTAGTATAGAGCGACAGCATCAAAGACGAAGTTCGGGGACTGGAGGTTCGATGGTCAATAGCAGGGCTCAGCATGTAGAGAGGTCCAACTCACAAGATAGGTGTCGCCGCTCGAGCCGGACGCGACGGAGATGGTGATCACGTTAACGGTCGATCCTGTAGAGAGGGTTCCATCCGCTTTGCGCAATGTCAACCCTCAGCCTGCTGGGCAACGTCATGAATGGGACTCACGGATGGCATAGGTGTAGTACTGGTTGATACCGCGCCAAGTTCCTTGAATCCAAGTTAGCTCATCTCACATACATTGCACGAGCGCAGGAAGCCTCACCGCGAGTAACACCCCGACTACTAAGATCATTCGGCGCAGGCGGAATCGAGCTCGTCCACGAGTTCACAGTGACGACCGGCCTGCCTCCCGCGAACGCAGATGTAGTAGCGATGACGAGCGTGCGCGCGCCGCCTTGGCCGGACGCGAGCGCGAACCGGATCGTCACGGCGCCGACAGCTTGGAAGGCGGCCATGGGGAAGTAGCCGATGTCTTGTTGGCCGACGGTGTATGTTCGAACCCTGGGGCGAGATGTGTTAGGTTGAGTTGGAAGAGAGGGGAGGTGGGATGTACCAGTCGTGCATGCGGGTGTCGCTGGGGCTGATGGAGGCTTAATACAGGTAACGACGGAATCCAACTATACGTACTGCATGGTCTCAATCATGCTATGGAAAACCGTCAGTATGGAGTAGCGCGAGAACGGGACTGTAGTACGCACTCAGCATTCAAGAAGCCAGTCGGCCTTCCATCGAACTCGCCGATTTGCCAGATATACGTCGTCGTCTGCCAGCATGTGAGCTACACTCTCCGGGTCAAATCACCGAAGATGTCACATACGTCCACACCGCTGGTGTCGTGGATGTTCGACGACACGGTCTCTCCTGCGCCGACTACGACGGATTGTTCGCCGACGGCGAGCTCGCCCTTGTACACTATTGCTGTTCAGTGGCTTGCGCGGAAGCATACAAAGGCAACGACTCACGAATCATGCTGTATGTACCAGGCTTCATGGCTGGCGAGTAGAAGTTAAAGTCAGACCCGATGGTCGCCCAGTATTGAGCGACAGAGTTGTTGAATGTAACTGTCGTATCCGACGCGTACGCATCAGGAACATCTACGGCCTTGCCCTTGACGTATCCCCGAGAGGCAGCTGTTACGAGGCCGCTAACGGATCCCAGACCCTCCCAGAAAGTGTAATCTGCCGATGGTCAGCTGTGGCCAGAGCGTAGGCTCGAGGCATAGGCTCACCGATTGTGGACGAAGGTGCAGATCCGCTCGTGAACTATAGTCAAGCATCTTCTTGAGTATAAGCTCTAGGGAGACTGAGCGCGTTGAACGTACGACGAGGGAGTATGGGCCGTGCAAGCCCTGACGGTAAGCTGATATGACATCAGCCCCACTCGTAGTATAAGATCGCACTGCGTACATTCTGTTTGCATGTGACCCGAGTTCTATCGAAGGGTTAGTTGGCTGAGAGAGCGCATTGAGGGACACAGACCATGTCTAGAATATGGTGAGTTAGTAGGGACAGCACTTCCAACAAGAGATTACGCACAGAAGTACAGCTCCTGTTGTGTTCCCCCCTGATTATCAATATCGCTGTTTGCGAGTGTCAGAAGAGCCTCTGAAACAACGAAGAGAAACATACCGGAAGAAGGGCCCGCCGGAGCTAGACTCGTATCCCGTGCCGGGGATCACCATGTATGCACCTAGATCCATACTCGGCATTGTGTTGGCTAAAGCGTGATGCATCACTCACCGACACCGGAGCCGGTAACGCCGTGCACCTGATCCTTGTAGAACGGAACAGAGGAGTAGACTGCGAGAGCGGTCAGGCGGTCCTCTCGCTGATGCACGATACGATAGAAACAGACATTTCGAGCGCGTCTGACCGCTGACAAGGAACACGTCCGATCCTTCGATCGCGGTTCCACCTTCGATGTTTGCTGCAGCGATGCCATTGGGTAACGCTGAGCGGGCGAGGCGCGCGATGAACCTGAGTTCTCCCACAGAGGGCTCGGCAGTCGTGTACTATGTCAAGAGTCAGACAAGGATGACGCATCGCGAAGCGACAGATACATACCGTGGCCATGTGCAAGGAGGCTGATTTGTACTGAGCGACGTAGTACTGTGTCAGGGTGCTTGTCGTGCAGGTGATCTTGATATAGTTGTTGGAGTTGCCTGTCTGCACCCACGAGCATGACGCAGAACCCAGACCGGAGCTCTGTATACACGTTCAGCAGGTGTGGAAAGGGTGTGAGCGAAACACATACTATCTGGCTGTATTTGGTCTGATCTTGGCATTCAACGCCATTATACTTGAGTGACGCTAGGAAGGTATATCACGATTGCTCCCTGCGACGCAGGAATCGATAGCACGTACTGACGTCTCCGTTTGAGGATTGGACTAGTGAAGATGATGAGCATAATGGAAGTGATCCGAAAAGTCAAGATGTACTTACTGGTGAAGACTAGACCGCCTGAGGTATCCACAGTCCAGAGCGTTCCAGAGGTGGTCAGCCCAAAGCCGGAGGCGAACGGCACAGCAGACGCTATCAGCGCAGACAAGAGGGAGACCCGCATGGTCGCAGAGAAGTCCTGTGCTAGGCTCGAGGTACGCGAAGACCGACCCGCGCGCTTTATAGGTGTAGGGTCACGTCACGCTATTGCTCGAAGTCGTTACCGGGCCGCTGATTATAATCAGACGCAGATTCCATGACGATCGGACAGACTCAGGTGCAATACCCGTGCTGCAGAGGCTTCCGACTGTTATCCGCCGTTCGCCCGACGCGAGTTGTCGCAGCGGGCTCGTACGTAGCGCAGAGAGCAATCATGTATCGAAGTTGATGCACCTCCCACCCGTCTTCACCAGGGCAAGTGACAAGATCTCGAGAGCCAAGTACTACGACAGTGAAGTCATGATCAACGCTAGACATGAAGTCGGTCGACACTGGTCAGGAGTCGCACATATGAGTATTGCGAGAGCAAGTGCATGGACATAGTTGCGAATAGGCGGCAGCCTCATAGTGCGCTCAGATTGAACATAGATCGGCGGCTTTGCAGGAACTGAAGAAGCTCGGAAGAAGATGTACATACTGCGAGGTACACAGGGCGGGCTTGGCGTCTGGTCCCCACGCAGCATACAGGCACAGAAGGCTACTTGAATTGATATACGTTGAACCCTGCTGAGCTCCTGAGCGCAGGAGACCTGCTGAGGCTGATGATGGTGGTCAGACGAGAAGGAACTGTTCGTCGGTTCCGAACAGGATACGTCCGGAAACGGCCGAAACGCGATCACGTGTGGTCGTTTAACCGACGTCATTACGACGCGACTGCGCTGTCGTGATTGCCTTCCTCTCAGACCACCAACATCCCTACTCTTGCCCGAGCCTAGCATGCCTCCAAAGCGCAAAGCAGTCGACGAAGATGCCGGTACGACCAAGAAGGCCAAACAGTCCACGCCGCGCTTGAAGAAGTCGCAGCAGCCAACGTGGGATGATGTGCGTACTTGTGGCCCTTGATCGCGAACGTCGAACACTCGACGCTAACCAACTTCACAGACCGAGAAGCCGGAGGGTGAATGGGCGCGTAAGTCTATCGAGCGCTGGAGGTGAGTGATGCGTGTCTGTATGTCACGTCTGTGACTGAAAGCGCTAATCACACGGCTATAGCCTACTACCTCCGTACAAGGGTTATAGCGAAGTCGCCTGGAAAAACTACTACGAACAGCGCGCAGCTCTTGACAAAGTCAACACTCCCGGTAGCGACACCGCGGAGTCCATCGTTTCTGAGGAGCTCGGTCAAGACACCTGGAAACTACTGCGTAAGGCAGCTGACAACGTTGCTGCCGCCATCTACGGCACCACTCTAGACGACGAAGAGCGAAAGTTTGCTATTGCCCGTACTCTTCGCGGGTCACTTTACTATCTTGACCTGTTTGGCAACGATGAGGAAGGGTACGTACAGGTATTCGTCTGTCCTAGCGTATGTTGACACTGCTATAGCGGTGGCAGCAACCCTCGGACCGTCAACGCGAAGACACGCCTATACTCGCCCTTCGGTCTTGGCACCGCCATCGACTTCGCATATGTCTACCACTACCGTATGCGCATGTCTATGGGCTCCGAACGCTTCTCCACGCTTCTCGCGCAGGTTCGCCACATGGACGAAATGGAGCCGGGCAACCCTTGCGGGTGTATCGCGGTGCGTAAGGACAAGCATGGAAGGGAGAAGCCCGAGGAAGGCGCAGTCAAGCTGCACAACATGGTATATCAGCCTTTACCATCCGGTAGCTTTGAGATCTGATACGTCGACTATGCAGAAGGGCGCGACTATATCTGGTACGGCGGCTAAGAACCTCACCGAGTTTGAGGAGGCTCTCTTCGATTGCTCTGGCTGGCTATCGCCGCGCAAGCTCTACGATCTTCTCGCTGCCGCCGGCACTGTGGGTCATTACCACGAAGCATTTGGTCGGGCCATACTGGAGAAGGCTGGCCGAGGGAAGTTCAAGATGTACCAGGGTGAGACGGATGGACGCAGTGAAGAGAAAGAAGACGCCGCGAAACTTGCGCAGGCAGAGCAACTCGCTGACGAGACGGACTCGCTTCCCCTACGGCTCTTGTCCCTCGCTAAGGGCCTGGGCGCCGGTGTAGAAGATGAGCAGGGTCCGGTGGAGGATGACGCGCCCTTGACGATTGTACAGGGTGCCACAACTGATGCTGTTCAGCCGCACGCCAAGGTTCATTCTACCGCGGAACAGCAATCCGCGCATACCGGACTCGCGGATCTACCTGATGAGACGTCAGCGGGAGCTCCTGCGGAGACGATTGCTGACGAGTACACCCCGCTGCCGGAGGCCGACAGCAACTCTTCTGCGGTGCCCTAAGACGGCAGTGTCATGATGCTTCCTACGATGCTCCCACTACGGCCTGACGATGGTGCTGGTCCTACGACGTCGGTGGAGCGAAATATAATCGAATTTATTGAGAAAGATAATCATCGCACAGATCATCTATATCACAGCCAACAGCTTACCGTAGTTTATGTCAAATCTAGTCGTTCATGTTGCTTTGTACTGGCTTTCTCGCTTGTTGATGCGTATGGGCGCTTGGAAAGACGCGATCACGTGTATTACACGCCTCATTCATCCACGAAACGGGCGGAGATACGTCATCACTGACTCCAGACTGACCTTAGACCTGACCTCAGCCCCTCCGGGCTTTAAACGCTCGATGCGAGCCGTCGGCGCGATGGGAACATATAAGCATGGGTGCAGGGTGTCAGCAAGCTCCCTTCGACCACATCTGATTATCCACTTACCATGAAAGACGTTCACAAGCACCTCGATGAGCATGAGGCGGGAGAAGCTGTACCGGAAGATACGGTGCGTTGATCATTCGGTTTCGGCGAAGAGCATCGGGCGGAAGGCCTGACAGGCCTATAGAAGGAAAGATTGTCGGTCGAGAAGCCAAAGACCGAGTGGGCGCGCCGGGCGATCGACAGATGGCAGTAAGCCGGCCGCTTAGCGCTTATCTCTCGTGTTGTGAGTGCTCATGCATACTGTAGACTTCTGCCGCCGTATGACACTTCCATCGATGATAGCGCCTGGAAGGACTATTATGAGGAGCGTCTCGCTCTCGAAGAACTGAACAAGATCGAGACACCCGAAGCCAATAGACTCCTGGCGTCTCAAGTATTCGATAAAAAGAGTATTGAGCTCCTTCGCCAAGCTCGTAAAGACATCGCACGGGTCCTTCGTGGCGCGGCGCTTTGGGACGGCGCACGCGAGGGTTACCCACGTTCCGCCAGCAGTGGTCTGTACTTCACGAGCCTCTCCAGTGTATCTGGCATCCTGTTAGTCCTCACGCCCTTAGGGAGTTTAGGTCCTCGCTGACACTTGCAGACCACCGGGGTCCAGAGTGGAAGGCCCAGAGCTCTCCGTCAGAGTGAAGACGCGCCTCTACTCACCGCTGGGCTTGGGTACATCGCTCGATCTCTATTATAATCACCACATCATGCGGCCCCAGTCGGCTAGCTTCAGAAATCTCTCCACCTTGCTCGCTCGTGATCGCTCAATCCAGGACTGTGATACGCGCAACCCTGCGCTGTCAGGCGTCGTTCGAGCAACCGGATATGGGTACGTAGAAGAGCGGCTACCGGGGACCTCGGAGATCTTGCAAGTGGTACGTCGCCTACGCCGCTATATTGTTGTACGGCCCTGCTGAGGTACGGCTCTAGATCGATGAGAGAGTGTCGCACATTGATCAGGCGGCGTTACATGAGCTGGAAAAGGCGCTATTCGGCACTTCGCGCTGGCTATCTCCTCGTAAGATCTTGCAATTGGTGATCACTGCGGCGTTGGCCGGCGAGCACTGGCAGGAGAGTTGGTCGTTCTCTAGTCTCAACGAGGTCCCACCCAAGCTACCGAAGAGAGATGGCGAGACTGACGAGGGTGAGTATCGCGAAGAGGATCAACGGCAGTTGGAGGAAGGGTAGTCGTGTGGGTGTTGTACCCCCGTTGTAGCATAGGTCGAGTCGCGCATAGGTATCCATTATGTATCATAGCCACGCAACATTGTATCAATACACGCAGATTCTGAGCCATAGCGCATGACCCAGACGGTGGTCAAGAGCAACTCGCGAGCGATCAACGCATGAGAACGCCGGCGCATTGAAAGCACACGCACGCCTTGTTCTCATCTCCCATCATCCATCCCTTCCTCCGTCCGTCATGACCAAGCACAGCAAGAACAATACCGCCTCTTCCATCTTCTCCTATGCTGAGTACAAGAAATTGCCGTATGGTACCAAGCGCGTGCGTGTTCCCCCTTTCCGTGGCGGTCCATGTATACTCATGTACACCATCATAGCAAAGGTTGGGAAACGAGTCTATGAGGCGCTTTGATGCCTGCTCTTTGTGCCTGCAGCGCGCGAGGGACCCTGTAGCTTGCCAGGAGGGCCACCTGTTCTGTAAGGAGTGTGCCTACAATGACCTCCGTGCGTATGTTTATATCTTCCTATTTGACTAGCGGACTAAAGTAGTCAGTTACGCAGAAGAAGGATATCAAGAAACAGAAGGAGCGTCTGGAGGCCATGAAACGTGATGCCGAAGAGGAGAAGGCTCGTGCGAAGGCGGCCGCTCGTGAGCGCGTACTCGCTGAGTTCGAGCGCAGTCATATCGGGCTGGCGGCGACATCTACTGTCTCTACCTCGGCCAAGGATACCAACGAACGTGTGTAGCGACTCATAAAATACTGAACCCAGAACAATACTAACAGGACGGGGCAGAGAGGGGCACGAAGCGCAAGTTCGCGTTCGACTCCAGTGCAGCCGAGAAGAGCGCGCTGGAGGCGGAGGAGGCTGCGGCGCGTCAGATCGAGCGGGAACAGGCTGAAGCTCTCAAAGCGAAGCTACCGGACTTCTGGCTACCCTCACTAACGCCCACGTACTCCACGACTGGCCCACCGACGTCTCTACAAGATGTCAAAGTTCAGACAACATGTCGGGGAGGCAACCCAGCTCATCACCTTGCGTACGCACCCTTTCCGGTATCAGCACGTACACGCTCGATACTGACACTGTTTGTAGACTGAAGAACTTGATACCTGTCAAGTTCGACTTGCTACCGGCAGAATCCAAACGCGAGGAGGACGCCAGAGCGATATGCCTCTCCTGCAAGAAAGAGCTATCGAACAACATGCGCTTATTCCGTACGCAGCTGTCAAATTACTGCAAGGCCTACGCGCTAACTGGCTGGTAGTTATGAAGCCATGCTCTCACGTCGCTTGCAAGACTTGCACCGATACGCTCGTGAAGCAGTCCAAGCAGTGCACAGTGTGTGATAAAGAACTCGCCGACAAGGACATTGTCGAGATGAAACGAGAAGGTGCGTCATATTCTTTGCATGTCGTGCGCGCGGCGAGTAACAGTTTGGCTTGTAGGTACCGGCTTCGCGGGTGGCGGTTTAGCAGAAACATCCAAGTCTGGGATTGCTTTTCAGGGCTAAATCCACCAGAGATGCCATTCCTTTGCTTGCGTGTTCTAATCCAGTATATTTCTCGATATTTCGTGGGTTCATTGTACATAATCACGCGGGCTCCGCGGGATGAACCACTTCAAAGCCGACGGACCATGTGGTCGACCATTGTGTGGACCGAGTTGTCCGTCTGAACGCCGACCTGGACATGCCCATTGTCTCCTGTGGCTACATGGTTCGCTCACGTCGGAAATGAACTGGATGTTCAATCCACATCTGCTTTACTATATAATTGCAAGCTCAGAAGTCTAATCCGGTCAACATGCCTTTCATCATGCAACCGCCCCCCTCGGTCCCCTTCCCCATCCCTCGCTTCTCTCTCCAGTCCGTGCTCGAAATCCTCGGTGCACCGCAATCCTTCATCGACGAGCTCCTCCAACAAAACATCGTACGCGACGATCTGCGTCGCACTATCACCGAGGCTGCGCCGCGCAAGGGCGGCGTCACGAAACTACCGCCTGTTACACCCGAGCTCGAAGAAGTATGGAGCAGCGTTCTCAACACCAAACTTCCCAGTGAACCGCGGCGGGACCCAGCTCAGACGACTTTAATGCGGCCCAACCCTCCGGTCTTAATACGTTCCGCTGTACCGGACCTTCAGTGCGATGACCCGGTACTCATCGCGGAGACGTTGTGCGGAATCCAAGGCATCAGCGGCCAGGACTTTCAGCTTGTCATCGAGCGCTTGGCGATGCATGGCGACTTATCGACATCTTATGCTATACAGATGGCGAAGCTCATTGCGAAGATGTTGGAGTTGCATGTAGACCATCCGATTGGAACGCCAGAGACGCAACTCTGGCTCTGTGCCATCGAGATGGCGAAGCTCGAGCAGGCTTGCGTTAACGTCCGTCGACACTTCTGTTCTTTACATCTACACGTACTGACTGTCGTGTGCAGGACCACAACGACAAGGGAGAGTGCAAACACGTTGGCATTCAGGGCCAGAGCCATCTGGTCTTCGTTTGCAACCTGTACAAGCTTGGTGTCGCTTCACCCGAGGACTACGCGCAGATGCTGAAGTCGATCGTCTTGCCACATGAGCCTTGTATGTGTCGCCTCCAGGCTCTGCAGATCGTCGTCGGATCTGGGGACAACCGTGTCTACAAGCATTGCCGCCAAGACGTCAGCCGTGTCGTCGATGCCTTGCGGACGTGTGATCGTGAAGGAGAAATGGTTTGGGAGTTGGACGGTCACAAACTTAAACAAGAGGTGCGCCTTCAGTAACGATCGGGAGATGAATGTCGTCTGACTCTTTCGCATAAGATGCTCGGCGAGATACTGTTCAAGATTCAAGGCTGGAAGAAGATGTAGATTAGATACGAGTGCGCTTCGGCGATATGACACTTCTGGGAATGTGTACAATATAATTGACATGGGACCGTGCGATTCGATATACTAATATATATTTTGGTGTTCCGAATCCACATTGCAAGCGTTCGTGATCATGAGGGTTTCGTGGTTCTGATGATCCATTGGAGTTTGGTCCCATTGTGGTTGACATCAAGTGGTTCGACGCACAAACCACAACGTCCTCCCATATAAGTCCTAGCACAAAGACACACATCCTCGCTCAACGCGTAACGTCTGCCTCACTCACAAAGACATGCCCGTCCCTACCGCACCTCCCGCTCCACCATTCACGCTCGAGACCGTCCTCGACCTTCTCGACACCCCAGGCAAGCTCAAAGTCAACCTCCTCTATCCGGACGTCCGACGTCTCGAGTTGCGGCAACGCTTCGAAGAGTCCGCGGGCGCACGACCCGGGAAACTTCCGCCTCCGACTCTGGGTCTGTGCTCGGTGTGGAGCAGCGTTTCGAACGTCCAGCTGCCTCAGAAGGCTCATTGGGACCTCGAAAGCAGCGACCCGAAGCACATTGCGAAAGCCCTCCTCGTTCTTGGACTTCTTTACATCGAGCGCCTCGGAGAGACGATGCGTACGCTGGCGTCGCACGCTGACGCTTCTGTGGATTTCGCTTGGGATATGGCCGAGCTCATCGCGGAGAGCCTGCACATCACATCGAACGAGGCTGTAGCGGAAGAAGCGCGCCATTCCGTATGTGCGAGTGAGCTTGCGAAGCTGCAGCAGTTCTGGGCACCGGTCAGTCGCCACGACTTCTCTGCTCGTTATCATCGTCGTCATAGTGGTCCGAGTCTGACTGGGTTGGTTCGCACAGCACGACGGCCAGGCATCGTGGGCGTCCTTCGGCGTACGCGGATGGAGCCGGCTGATGTTCTTCGGCGGCCTGTTCGACAGCGGCGTAGCGACTGTAGAAGAGTACGTCCAGTTACTGGAGCACCTCATAGAGGGAGGCACGCCGTGTACCTTCCGCCTCAAAGCCGTCAAGGTGGCGGCCGAGTTCGGCGACAAGCGCGTCCGGTCGCTTTGTAGCGCCGATCTCGGTCTGGTCGTGGACACGCTTGAAACCATAAACCGCAGAGGAAACAGGACGTGGACGTTGGGTGGACATCTGGGCGCGGCAAAGGTGAGTGACGAGAGACTTCAGTGGTACAGATGCTGATCCGCCGGGTTGGTAGATGTTGAAGGAGATCCGGTATAGGATTGACGGCTGGCGCGCGGCGGCCCACAGGAACGACGAGTGATGGGGTGGTGTCGACATTGTTATCTAAATCTGTATGTTAATCAGAGTGTGAGAGTACTTGAGATGAGACGACAGCGGACCTTCATGAATAGACTTTTTTGTAATGATATGTCCTGTCAACGACGTGGCCCTTGGACAATCAACGACAGGAAGTGGATTGGGACGGTCGTCAGGTCCGGTCGCTGCATCGTATTGTTCACAACGTTCTGTGGTATTGGCATGGTGCAACTCTTAATCCACAGCGCTGAAGGGGGTTAGGGTTAGTATAAAGGCGTGAAGCGAGAGGCATATGCAGAACATACTCGCCCAGCATGCAGAACCCCACCTACCAGCCCGTCTTCACGCTCCACACCATCTTCAACATCATCGACCTCCCTCCCCATCTCCTGGACAACTTCCTCAACCAGAAGGCCAGGCGCACCGACCTCAGGCTATGCTGTCAGGCCTTCTCGACCGTCTCGCCCGACCGCAAATCCACGCAGCTCCCCGCCGCAACGACGGCTATGAACGCAGCTTGGGACAGGGTCATCAGCACCGATCTCTCCCGCGACAGGCGGCGGCCTGGAGAGACCGCTGCCCGCCCAGCGATCGACTGCGTCAACCTTCAATACAATGACCCGAGGCTCATCGCAGAGGTGTTGAAGGATCTGTGGGTCGGCGGCGACGACGAGAAGTTCGAGGCGATGTTGCGGGCTTTCGAGCCGCACGTCGATTGCACTGCGAGCTTCGCGAGGTGTATGGCACAGCTCGTCGCGGAGAGCATTGACATGCATGGGCATCGCGCTGTGGTGAGGGGCGTGAGCGCATCCGTGGTTTTCCGTTCGACTGAGGTTATCGATGCGGAAGTGGTACGTGCGCACTTGTTGGCTTTGCGACCTGAATCTGGCATCATGATTGAGCTGACACTCTTTCTCCAGAAGCGTCACGTAGAGAAGCCATGCTCACCTTTCAACGAGCGCTTCTACAATCGTCTGGTCTTCTTTGCTACGCTGTACAGCAAAGGCGTAGCTTTCCCGGACGATTATACGCAGGTTTTCATATCACTTGCTCAGACGAAGCGGTCATGCGTGTGCCTCTTGAAAGCTATCCACCTCATCGCCGGGTCCGGAGACAGGCGCGTCGTAGAAGCACTGCTCAAGAATGGCGTCGATCCCATCCTGGATCACTTGCTCAGGGCCGACCGTCGTGGCAAGAGAGATTGGGAGTTGAAAGGAGACAAGGCGGCTATCGCGGTGCGTAAGCGTATATGTGTGGAGGGCGGAGCTGGTCTGAACTGACGTATCTGGCTTGCAGATGCATAAGCAGACCATCGAAAGGATACAAAGCTGGCAGTCCGTCTGATTGGTGGAGAGTATGATCTTCCCGACCGCGCGGCATGAGCCCCAATGAGAGTTATTCCTTTGTGGCCCCTCCCTGTTGTAATATATAGTTAGGTCTCGATATCTGAAGCGGCTTCGTAAACCTCACCTTGTGTACATCATCTCGCTTAGCTTAATCATGGATTATCTCATTACACGCCGCGAACGTCACTTGGCAGGAGGTATGTCCATCGACGACCTCTTGAGCGCTCACCGTGACCCTTGCGAGGGAGGAAGCATAGCCTTATACTCGCGCAACGACTGGCTAGAGCACTTCTTGGCGCTCATTTTCAGAGTAGATGAGGAGACACCGACAACGTTCCATTCTTTGCCGGCGATGACGATGCTGAAGACCATTTGCAGTGACATCGTCTGGTACGGGATGCTGATCGCGATGCGGGGAGAAGACCCGTCGGCCGTCGCGCAAGCTGCCGAGAAATTGCCGCGCCTCTTGCGCCCGAGAAACGAGTCTTTCCACCGTGTCATCTACCATTGGATGGTCATGAGCACGCAGGAGGCTGTCAGGAGGTTATGGAGGGTAGGCAAGGTGAGTTCTGCGCGGAGTAGCGGCTTTCTTCTCCCTTGGGGCTGACACCGTATCTCAGAAATACGGCTCGCGCGGAATCCCGGCTGTTTCTGCGACGCCCCTCGAGCAGTCCGCGCGGCTGGCGGCACTGGCGATGGCAGCGCACCTTGCCAGCACGCGCGTCATTCCACCGGAGGATTTGATTGAGATGTTGAAAGAGGCGTCGGCGAGCTGCGAATGGGCTTCATTGGCGGGAGCGACACAATATGCCATCGCGCATTCAGGATCGGCGTTGCACACAGAGCCTCATGCAACGCATGCGCAGGCGCTCTTGGAGATCTGTACGCACTTCATGTAGGAAGTGTGAAGTCGAATGGGATGGATATACGTCCGAATGGCACTGTGTGAACACTTGCTGAATGGGGCTATTCTTACGGGAAGCGGCGTGCTTCTGCGTCGAGGTACGACCTAGGTAGACCGACTAGGCCGAAAGAGAACATGGAAGACCGACAGAAGAAACCGCAGCGCCAGCAGGCAGTAGATCAGCGGTGGCGGAGATTATCTTATAGTATTCGGTCGACACGTGTCTCGGAGCTCGTGTGTTCGATACGTTCATTTCTGTTCATTCCAGTGCGGCCTCGTCATACAGACGAAGCATCGCGCCAGAGCCAGGCCAGTTCAAAGTTGGGCACTACGCGCGAGATGGTGGGCGAAGGCAAGCTGAGCACGCGAGCGAGCACTGCCGCGGCGTAATAACCCGAATCGGGAATAAGACGATAGATGGGACTTATCAAACCGCGCTACGGGCTCGTACGTCTTCTGGCTTGCACCCTGATCACCTCGTTCATTCTGCGCAGAAGGCGACACAGGATATAGCATGAACGACAGCGAACGACCCGAGTGCGTTGCCAGCACCAGCTACCAGACCATCCGCGGCTCTGCGACCGCCATGCACATCGAACTCCCCAGCCTGCCATCATCGCCGCACTCAAGCGCCCTACCCTCGCCTCCGGATAGTCCCAATTCGGTATCATCACTGCCATCCCTCAACTCGTCTTTCTTCTTGTCGTCGGCCGACGTCAGCCCGCCCCATCCTGCTACCGACGTCGCCCGCGACTCGACCGCCGGTCTTGTGATCCCCTCGCTCACATTACCACCCGCCTTGAGCCAGCCGACGGCGTACGGGAAGACGCTGGCGGATCTGCGGCTGATTGTGCTGGGCGGAAGCGCCGAATTCTTGTTGGATGGGAACAAGGACATTGTTGATGTTGCTCAACCCGAGGCAGCTCCTCTCCGCGGCGCACGCATCATCCGAGCGTCTACAGACTGGATCGAGCACTCTGACGGCCACGGCCTCGACCGCTTCGAGCCGTCGCACAACGTCGAGATATTGGAGATAGCCCGGAGCGGGGGAGGGCACGACGTGGGTCGCCGGCTTCTGTTTGATCTATGCCGGTATGCTGACCATCACACAGATGAGCCGCCTGACAGAGCAGCTCTTGAATATCGTTCACGCGCCCTTTCGCGAAGTGCACGATTTGCTCGATCCCACCCCTACCAACTCGGCACTTCTCTCGAATCTAGTCTCATCTCCCACCTCGCCCTTGTATACCGCCTTCATCGTCTTGTCGTCCGGTCTGTCCACCCAAGAACGTTCTTTGATAGCCGCACTGGGTACCGCCGTACCCGTCATCATCTTGCCGCCTGTGGCTGGTACCCACACCCGCGTCCGCCTTCCGCTATCCACATTCAGACCGCAGACGCCGGTTGCCCTACGTACGGCGCTCTTTCGCGCCCCCGATACTTTGGCCACCCTGCGTACAGAGGCTGCCGATCGCTTCTTCGCCTGGCGCGAGCGCGAGATGGTCGCCGCACGACCGCGCGCTTCATCTGCCTCTTGGGACAAGTCGGCTTGGGAAGCCGATTGGGCTGCGACCATGTCCCGAGCAGCAAGCAGGCGCGCGAAACCTACGACAGGCGGAGAGCCTGCGCCGCCCTGCGTTCCCCTGGACCCGCTTCACCTTCCTTCACTGCTTGCATTCTCGCTCTCTCTATTTACGCCGACGCGGGAACGGCTAAGGCGTATCAGCCTGACAGGCCGCGGGCTCGGCTTGGCGCTGCTCGGCACGCTCTGCGTTGGGATCGGGCTTGGACTTGGGATGGCTCTGCGCCTCCCGGCGTTCGTTGCTTGACATGTACATCTATCGCTGTACCTACTCTTAGACTCTGTCGTTGCTGTTGTTGTGAGTGTACCGTGCGTGTAGCCTGGGATCATGTGTATAATTATATCCTCATCATTTCCCTTCTTTACGATCTTAATGAACATTTTCTCTCTTGATCGCTATGAGCTCGCAGTCCCGTCTGTCTGCGCGTTAGATACTAAACTAATAAGAGATGACGTCTGTGCCTCTAATGAAGCAACAGATCTGAGTTGTATGAACGTGAGTGCGGGAGCCTCGAGGCTCGCACGTTTGATCCCATTTGATCCGCCGGCGCGCGCCCAAAGCGTCCCTTGCACCGGTCCACCACGGACGCGCCAGCTGCGCTCCTACGCTGATACTTTCTATGACCGCCGTTCAGTCGGGGGATATGTCTCATAAGACTGTCGTACTTGTCCATGAACCAAGCTCTGTTGAGCACTGAGCTCCCCGGCTGCATTCCAATCGGGCGCGGGAGCTTCTGGACCCACTGGCCCGATGATCTACCGCGAGCTTAACAGCAGACCTTGATCGAGGTACTACTCAAAGCATCTACGGATCTCCAGACGTACGCGTCAGATCTACCTTCTACCCGCTACCTGAACATACATACTGAACTCGAGCCTGCCAGGCTCCTCAACACTTTACCCTTATACGAACCGCACAATAGCCTCAACGCTGCGGCTAGACTCTCCACGCCGTAAGAGCTCGTCAACAGGATGCGCTCACCATGGAGATATCGAGATATGGCCGCACCATGAGCCCAAATCCGCGCCGCCGGCCGCCACTCCGCCGTGGCTGTGCCTTGTCTGTACTTCCCCGTCTTGAACGTGCCTCTTTGAGTCTCTTGTCTTTGTCTGGCGGGCGCGCGAAGACAGCGCTTACAGGTCGAATAAACTTACTAGTACGCGCGCGTCCAGCCATACAACATCTTCCGCATGTGGTCGATCAATCGTGGCCCACCAGCGCATCGCGGGAGCAGACGTCCGCGTCAGGCGGCCCAACTGATCTATCGCACCCCGCCCGGCCACTCCTTCTTTCGCTGATCGGGCGGCACTCGAAATATAAGAACCCCGGCGCCTTCGAGCGTGTCCCCCGGCTGCCCCTGCTTTGCTTTGGCCGCGCACGGTTTGGGTCTCTTGGACGGCGAGCGCTCGGTCCTCGCTCGGAGACTTGATACCCACGTACTCGCACTGGAGGCACGGATCCGGGCGGGGACGCGATGGAACATCATTCGGAGGTCGAGACGCTTGAGCAGTTCATCTTTAACTCCAAGATATGCATCTATGTCTCGAGTGCGTTGTCTACCAGTGTGCTACTCTACACTCGCTGACGAAGTTGTAGTGGCTGGCTTGGTTATGATCCTTTACGATCATATGCTCACGTTTGCGGACGAGGTGGAGCTGATATGGAAGGCGCCGAGGTCTATTGCTCGTACTCTATTCTTGATTAACCGGTGCGTTGGTTCTGTCTGGCGAGAGTCGATCTGGACGGAGGGCTGATACTGCGCAACAGATACTGCGTTCCGGCCATGGTCATCGGCTCCATGCATGGTATGGCTGTTGCCGAATAGTCAATACTACGATCGCTGAACTCCTCGTAGCATTCTCTGCCATCTCGCAGAGCACTTTCGTTGACATAGTGAGCATATCCACTCGCTTGAAGCGCATCTGAAGCTGACTTACAGCGTTCAGTAGTAAGCCGTCGAGCACTACGCAGGAGATGTGTTCAGGACTGACCATGCACGCTAGTTGCCGGTCCTGGGTTGTAATAGCGCTCGTGGCTGGCGTTATCTCCATCGCGAACAGCAACTGTACGTTCTCAGCGGTACTCCGAACCGCCTCCTCACTCATGAGCTCTCATAGTCATCATTCTTCTGCGTCTCTGGGTGCTCTGGGAGCGCCAGAAGCGCTTGATTGCGTTCACGTTCTGTTTGTTCGTTATCTGCCAGCTCTCCACTATGGGCATTGTCGTTTTGGCTTGCATCAGGTCGTACCGTGAGTACTCGAGCTTCACATCCGTCTGAAGCGTGGCTGATGTCGAGACAGAGTCGATCGTTTACTACGCTCCTTTGAAGACTTGTTTGTTCGTGACGAGGGTGAATGTTGCATGGTTATGGCTTCCTGGGGTGCGTACTGCCTGAGTTCGATTTTCTGATCCGCTAGGCTTACTTGGCTCAGGTCGTATTTGAGTCCGCTGTATTCACCCTGACAGTCTGGAACGCTATGCAGCGGCCGCGTATCCACGACAGAGCGCTGACGAGACAGTTCTATCGCGATGGCGGGATGTTCTTCACGGTGCGCTCTCACACTGAACCTGTCTACAATCTCGTCTCTGAACAGTTCATAGGTCGTCTTTGGTGCGTGAACTACATCGCGAATGACCGCCTGACACTCACCATTGCGTACTATAGCTATGCGCGTACTCAACATGGCTATAGCCTTCATAGCGCCCGTACGTCATCCACGTCTGGCCCATCATACGTCATGTCTGACGTTCAATCAGGCTTCGCTTATGACACTTGGGGCATTGTACGTGCGGCACCACATACTCTAACATGTATCACTGACCTTCCGTGGACAGCTTTATCTGGTGCAGTACAACCTTGACCGTCAGGTACGTCGATTCGCTCCGACTGGCCGCCATCTACTTAGCTCACCTTATCGTTCACAGCCGGCTGGTCATGAATCTGCGCCGTACTGCTATGCAAAACCCGCCTCTGCCATTGACAGAGATCTCCGAGACTCATACCGGTATCGTACGCACGACAACGGTGACCCAGGTGGTCCAGCACGAGCACTACGAAGGCGGCAGCCAGCTTAGCCGGAATACGACGGGCGACTTCCTGGAGCTGCACGATATAAGCGATTGAGTGGATATGGACTGTCTGGGTTCCGTGAATCTTGGGTTTGAGCGCTTGAGTGCACTCGATTAGATGTACTTCCTTCAGCTGTAATACATGATGACGCTGTCTTTACTTCACCCCTCCTCGATAGCACGAGCGAAGCTGCTGTAAGCTGTATGAGCCCCTCTTTCCTTATGGTGACGGTCGGATTGGTGAAGGCGGCACATCTGGCAAGAGCGCAGATGGTTGATGATGTGGCTCGGAGCCGCCGGCGCGGGGCCGAAATAGGGGGTTTGGATGGTGACGGTATGAACTCACGTCAAGGAACGCGTTGCGCGCGCCGCACAGTAGACTCAACGTCCACGATCTCTGCGCTCCGCACCGCCGTCACTTTGCTACAGGGCGATGTGGTAGTGACCGTAACGTTGAGGCAATACACACAACTTGCCTACAACCACCATCCGCTTGGCGACTGAGGTCTGAATACCAAGCGCTGCAGGAATACTTGTCGCGCACACGATGTCTGGGAGGTATGATCTTCAATTAAGCTCCCAGCTACGTCCGTTGGATATTGCGCGAGCAACCGTTGAGGGACGGGTCCCCCATGATTTGGACGATGACAAAGGACTGGAGGGCGCTTATCCTGCACTATTTGCAGCGGTAGTTCACTCGGAGAACGGACGGGAGTCGGGCTGGTGCGTCCAGCTACCTGCCCAAAGGAGCATCATGAACTGACCGTGCACAGCATACTTGCATACAGAATCGAGGAATCCGAGTCGCCGGACGATTTGGATAGACTTGTACTCGAACGCGTCTTCCCAATCCACGCCGAGTTCATCGTCCGAATATCCCAGCCTCAGAACCGTGGTACCGTCACTTCGCCACCCCCGACACCCGCTACAGATACACTACCAGGTGAGTCTGTCCCATAGACATCTCCGTCCCTGGTCTTCTCAGACTATCTTAAGATCAAACGCTTGCGCTCGACATCTACGAGGGCCCGAAGCGGGTTCTGTCTCTACTTACCGAAGACAAGGAAGATCTATCCGCCACTCTCTTCGCCTGTCGCGCTCTACGGGACATTGCCAGTCCGTCTACTGCCTCTTTTCACCTAGTGCAGTGCGGCTCATGTCTCATCAGCTCGAGATGGACTTGATACAGACGACTTCCCCTGGCTTCTCCCGTACAAGTGGAACCCAGAAGCGTGGCTTTCAGGTATGTCGCGCGCCTTTCTTGTACAATACTTGCTCACGGAGATTGAGCAGTCAGGCCACCTCGCGATCTGCGCCTTACACGTCGACCGATGCACACGCAACTAGCTGCAGCGCATGCAGGCTCCACGAAGGACGATGCAGCCGATTTCGTAGTACTCAGGGACCATTGGCTGTCCACACGTCCGAGAGCGCAACTTCTAGCGTCTGCGGAGCATACGCCCCTGCGGTACGTCGTACCAAGCTTGACACGTTGGCCGTTGTCGCTTACAGTTCTGCAGTATACGCGTCGGAACCTTCAACGTGAACGGCAAGTTACCATCTCAGGATCTTTCCGCTTGGGTTGCCGGGAATGAAGGGCCCAACAATGATGCAAAAGGCGGCGATGACTGGGAGAAGCTCATTCCTCCCCTCAAAGAACTTTCTCCGCTCTCCCTGGGTGACGGCAGTCAGTTCTATATCTCTCCCCCAACCATCCACTGGTTGAGCTGATGTTACAGTACAGCTCCGAAGCTGGGCCCTTCTGAAGTGCCAGCGCGAGATACCTCTCAGGATATACCTCAGAAGCCGACCAGTGCGCGTATATACTCGCAGCCTTCCATCAAGGGCGATGACTTTGAGCCGGACTTACTCGTTCTTGGGTTCGAAGAGCTTGATCTTTCGGCGGGCGCCTTGGTTGTTGGATCAAGTACATCTCGTGAAGAGGCTTGGACCAAGGCTGCGCTGGCCGGACTAGGCGACCGTGGCGAGGCGTATGAGAAGGCACGTGGTTAACACCATCTTCTGTATGTGCGGGTACTCACGCTGGTTGTCGCGTAGATTGCCTCCAAGCAACTTGTAGGGATGCTCTTGCTCGTCTTCGTGAGGAAGGAGCTTCGTGAACGCTTTTCCGTAGTCGCCAACTCCTTGGGCGCTGGTCTCATGGGGATCATGGTACGTGCGACATTCGTTCGAGGGAATCAATGGTTACTAATAGGGAAACGCAGGGCAACAAGGGCGCTGTCTCCATACGCTTAACCTATCGTCCTACTTCTTCATCGACACCTGTCGCCCTGACTTTCGTGGACGCTCATCTTGCAGCATTCGACGAGGCGCTCGATCGCCGTAATGCTGACTTCCATGATATATCCCGCCGTCTTACGCTGGGCCCCTGTTTGGAGTACGTCCAGTTGCCGCAGGTCTCGATTTTCAATACGGATGCCTTGATATGGATGGTCTGTACCTCACCTTCATGCATCACATAGCCAGTGCTGAATCAACACACAGGGAGGTGAGCGATGCCGCCGGGCCTGTCTGAGCTACGAGGGTCTGATTCGCACTTACCATAAGACCTTAACTATCGCATTGATCTGCCGAGTGCGGACATACGGACTATTCTACGCACACACCCCGTTCATGAGGCTTCGACGACACTACAGAAGTTTGACCAAGTATGTAGTATGCACGATTCCCGGGAGCCGGTCTGACTTGCCGCCCTCCACAGCTGAAATGTTCCATCCGCGATAGTAAGGCGTTCGATGGATTTGAGGAGCATCCTATCAGCTTCTTGCCGTGCGCATCTTGGCCATAGACTTCTTGGTCCTACGCTAACCACCTTTTCCTAGGACTTATCGATTTAGCGAAGGTCTTGCAATGGACTCGCTAGGATATGACCTGAAGTGCGCGACCTCGCCGTTCTTCTTATGGCCCTTGATCTGACCTTCACGTAGACGGAAGCCGGCCTGGACAGACCGTATTCTGCATATGTCATCCAATACAACCTCTCTGAAGCAACACACCTATACGAGCCACCCACATATCACATTCAGCGATCACAGACCTGTCTCCGCTAACTTCGTAGCCCAAGTGCGTGAGAATACTCTTGCATGGTCTCACATCTATCCGACCTCCATATAGATACCCCACCTCGACGCCTTTACCTTGGACGAACAGGCAGATGAACTGTTTAGCGCTGTAAAGGACGTTGACTTGGAGGACTCCGACGAGATACCTACCTTGGCGCTCAGCGAGACCGTCTACCAGCTCGGAGACGTGCAGTGCGTACAAATGCTATCGCTCACGTCTGCATGCCGATCAATTCCAGATACGATTCTCCTGTAACCCGTTCTTTGACAGTCAAGAATACCGGAAAGGTTCGTGAACGCCGTAAACGACGTTAACTATTGTAAAGCCTGATCGCTGATGATAACCAGATACCCGCTGCGTTCCGCTTCCTTCCTCGCGAGACTGGAAGCCCTACAAGTAGGTCCTCCAACTCTACTTCCTAATATCTTCTAATCTTTTGCAGGTCCTCCATGGCTGTCCATTGATCCTATGACTGTGAGTTGCTGAGGCAATCGCCTTGTCGCATCTGACCCCATCGACGCAGGCTTTTATCCTTCCTGGCGAAAGCTGCATGGTTACCTTCACGATTCACGTACACAAGGATAACGCACACGTCTTGAATCTCAAGCAAGAACGCTTCACCAGCACTATCATCATGCACACTCTCCTCGGAAAGGACCACTTCGTTGCTCTTTGGGGCGACTATCGTACGTTGTTGCATCCCCATTGTGCTAGAGCAGCTGTTCTGACACTGGTTTAAGGTCGCACTTGCTTTGGCACTTGCTTTAGCTCTCTCACTCGGCTCAAGAGACCTATTCGCGAGTTGGACTCGGAGGCAGACCTCGTTGCATCTGAGCAAGCTATGCATGCGCCCAAGGAGATCAGCTCGCTTGTCAACTGGTTGCTCGATAACCAGATCGAGAAAGTGGTTGGTGCCATTACTTCATCATGTGTTGCCCCCCCACCAACTTCAAACCGGCAGGATGATCTATTCCTGACGCCTGGCGAGCCCGAGTTAGTCGCACAGATACGCGAGGTTGGCTCTACCTCCGTGTACGCTGATTTGCGGCTGACAAACAACTGCAGTGTCTGGACACCGGCGCCAATATTCCGACCTTGAACGTGAACCCGCCAACATCGGAACGCGACATCCAGCTCGTTCGCGGAGTTGGAGCTACGCTCTTTGCCCTGCTTGACTCGTTACCGGAGCCCATCATCCCGACTTCGTTGCATCCTCAGTGTGTGCAGGTCGCAGATCGAGAAGCGGCGTTTGTGGTATGCCGGCACCTTATACTTACAGATCAATGTATTGACACTTGCTTCAGGTTCTGTCAAGTCTGCCTACCGCGACCATAAACGCATGGGTGGCGATTACGTCGTGCTTGCATCTCTACTGTATACAGACACACGAAAAGCATCCACACAGTCCTGACAGTGAAGCCGGTGATATCGTTCTCTCTGGTCCGCGCGGGTCTCTCACTCGTGCTGAGCGTATTGGTTAGTCGATAGTTTCGTCTACGATATGCGTTGACTTATGACGCGGTAGCGGATATCTGGACGCCCATGCTACTGAGGGATGATCCCAACTCTCCGGCCCTTGTATCTCTTCTGGATAAAAGACGATTCCTTCTGTTCTTCATCGATCCATCGATCTAGATAGTCCATAGACACGCAGGCTGGGTGTACGTAGTATATCTATACGAGTATCTTCTGCGTGGGATACAGTTTGGCGTTCAGCATCGCACTCAACTCCAAATTGCAGTACACTGTCGGTCCCACGGAGCGCCTTTGTCGTCATCGGCGCAGTCGCGCGCCCAAACTTGTCGTGCTCGCTTCTAGCTCCCATGAGGCTGGTCGGTCGCTTTCGCGGCACGATTGTCCGCCTCGCACAGACATCGACTATGTGGGTATGTAGTCGTGAGGGCACCTTGCTCGTACAGCGCGCTTGCGAGGACCCTCCGAGAGCGCATGAACCGGCTGCGCGAAGCGCGGCGCAGGCATGGTGGGACACGGACTCGGCGAGCCTTTCCCGAACTTTCCGCCTTTGAAGCAGTGCTGCTTTCGGAGCTGACGTACGTATATAAAGACGCCCTGCCGCCTCGTGTGTCTTTTTTCCTTTCTTCTCCCTCATACCTATATAAGGTCTTTTCTCTTTCTCTGAGCTTTCGACCCGTCCCGAGCCCGCTCGTCTCTCGGTTGCGCCTAGTTGGGTCTTGCTCTCATCGCTTCCCTTACGAACTCTACATCCCGCCCCATAGACCTTCACCCACTTGTACGTAGATTGCGTCACTGTGTCCTTTTGAGTAGTCGCTGAACCGTACAATAGTACACTTAGATCGCCATGCGCTCTCCCATCTATCACGCAGTCCTCTTCCTCCTACTCGCATTGCTTCACGGCGTATGCGCCCATCCCAACACAGTCCACTCAAGCTCCACCGCGATCCCGTCCACGGATGCAACTACCGAATCGCTTGTGACTGCGCCAGTGGCGGAACCTGAAGCTCCCTGGCCACTATCCCTCCTCATATCCTTTGCTCGCTCATCAGCGGCGTGGGGCGCCGACTCAGAAGATCTTGACGATATTCCGGCCTCAATCTCTCGCCGGCGGCCTCGCCGTCGTATCCGGTCGCATCCTTGAAGTTTGTCTCTCAGTCACGTATGCGCGTGCGCGTGCGCAGTCTCGGCCCACTCTAGGTGCGCGACGAGCTACCCGAAGAGACCGTATGCGTTGCTAACCTGTGTCCCTCAGACTCTCATGGACATAATCCTTGCTATCGCTTCTCGGCATCACGTCACCAGAACATTTCCCCCCACATATACCTACCATACGTCCTGTAATGATGCAGGACGACTCGCCTGCTGTACACTTTTCCAACCCCCACGATTCTCGGACGTTGACTCTGCATGAACACTCTCACGTGTACCACCACTGCATCCTCGCACACCTCATTCCTTTCCGATCAGCTTTGTATCCGCACGGACTACCGCACCAGCTTTCCCTCTTCATGAGCTCAATGACACTTCATGTTATTTCCATCCCTTGACATTTTGCTTTACCTGGTCCTATGTTCGTGTGAAACGCGGCCGAAGTGCGACTAGACTGTACGCTCGTGTGAAGTCAGATTTCACAGAGGTCACCAGGTTGCCCATACGACGCGGCTTGCATCCCTCTTCCACCACCACGTCGAGGACGACGAGGTAAAAGTGTTTTCGGCCATATCTCGGTCTCCGAAGTAGCCGTCGAGCCATCCGAATCCTGGTCTCGGTAGCGCGCTTGTGCAGATACTCTCACCAGAGCGGCCAGCTCGGCGTCCAACTTGTGGACATGAGTCCCATCGTAGGCATTCTCGCACGATCTCGCCATATGTCCAGCTCTCATATGCCTGACAGAGTTATCTTGATCTCTATGAAGCTTCCATATCTGAGCTCCAGGAGGGCCTGACTCAGAAACACTTCACCAGCGTTAACCTCGTTCAGGTGAAAGTCGTAGCAGGGCCAGCGATAGTCCTTGACACTCACTTACACGGCTCCTGATAGGCGTATCTGGCTCGCATCGAGGAGGTCAACCTTCGTGGTCCCACTCTCAGGGCAGTCATCGAAACGAATCCTCACGTTCTCGATAAAGCTGCGGAACTAGATGCCGAGCGCTCCGAGCGCGGTCCGCGAGGTCCTCTGCACGGCATACCCATACTGCTCAAGGACAACATCGCTACTGATGCTTCAGAGGGTGAGATGCACAACCTGTGGCGAGCGCGCGTCCTGACCGTCTGTACACTCAGGCATGCAAACGACAGCTGGTGCGTATATGGCCCCACCTTCCCTTACCTACGAGGAGCCAGCTAAGCGCGCATAGGCTCTTACGCGTTACAGGGTGCGATACCAGCCCACGCGGCGCATATCACTGACGCATTGAAGAGCGCCGGCGCGGTGATACTGGGCAAGACCAACCTGTCAGAGTGGGCGAACTTCCGCGGCGTCGTTCCCAACGGCTGGTCTGGGCGTGGCGGACAGTGCACAAGCCCATATCTGCCGCTTGGGGACGCTAGTGGGTCGAGCTCGGGTTCGGGCGTTGCTGCAGCTATCGGACTTGCTGCTGGCTGCATTGGTACGGAGACGGACGGGTCGATCATCGGTCCAAGCGAGCGCAATAATGTGGTTGGAGTGAAGCCTACTGTCGGCTTGACTTCGCGCTACGGAGGCAAGTCCTTGCCAAGGCGCATGTAGCGCATTGAGCTGATCAAGACCCCGCTCCCAGTCATTCCCATCGCCACCACGCAGGACACCGTCGGGCCCATGACAAGATACGTAAAGGACTCCGCCATTCTTCTCAGTGTCCTTGCCGGCAAGGATGAGCGCGATGAGCCCACCCTAGCGCAGCCACTACCTGTACCCGACTACGTCGCCACTCTCCACAAAGACGCGTTGCGCGGAGCGAGGATCGGCGTCCCGCGACAGCTCATCTCTCCCGAACCCACGAAGCATTGCATAAACGACGCATTCGACCGCGCTCTCGGGCTTATGCGTGAAATGGGGGCCACCATCGTCGAGCGGACTGAGCTTCCTAGTTCTGACCAGGTTGCTGGGAACCTCCCAGACCACGAGAGGTTAGTGATGGAGACCGAGTTCAAGGTACGTGCGATCGCTAGTCCGCTCGCGGATCTGTGCCACAGTTGACCCAGACATAGGTCGGAGTCGAAGCATACTTGTCCGCATTGCCTGGAGTGCCGACGAATGTTAAGACCATATCCGACATCATCGACTTCAACCTGGCACATGCAGATAAGGAGCTGATTCCGCCACACTACGAGTCGCAAACAAGGTGACGAAGAGAGTCAAGGCAAGCCCGCAAACCACACTTACCGCATTCGCGTAGGATCTATGCTAGCAAAGATCTGACAATGAACGACGAGTACCGTGCCGCGGTGGCGAAAGGTTACGAACTTGGGCGCACGAAGGGGATTGACGCGGCATTGCTTGAACACGACCTGGATGCTTTGGTCCTTCCATCTGGTGGTAAGCGCATGGTGCGGGCAACTCTCCAAGTGACACGTAGCTGATCGTGGTCCTTTACAGCAAGAGGCGGTACACCGGCCGCTATGGCCGGGTATCCTATAGTGACCATCCCGCTTGGTTTTAGGCCAGATAGCACGGAATCCACCGAGGCGGATCCCGTCATTGATATCGGTCCTGGACAACCGTATGGCCTGGCATTCATGGGAACGGCGTGGTCAGAGGCGAGGCTGTTGTCATTAGCATATGCGTTTGAGCAGGCAACCCAGGTGAGGCTCGAGCGCAAGGCCTTCGATGCGGCCATCCCAAAGACCCAATTCGTGGACGTCATGAGAACTACGTGATAGAAGGGCACGTGCGGGTACCATGAACGCGCGTAAGCTCTCGTCACAAAGAACAGAAGGAGACCAATGTGATTGCCGATACATGCGTGTGTGTTCCATAGTAATACATGTTGTTGTTGAGATGCCACTTTCGCACCGTACGCGCTCAAAGTCCTCTAAGCAAACATCTTCTTGTATGCCGCCTTCTCCTTTGCAATCTTCGCCTTCTTACGTTGACGCAAGCGCTCAAGCTCGGCGGCGATTGCCTTGTCGTCCTTCGCGTACTTAAGCGCGTCGTTCAGGACAACCTCCGCCCGCTCCTCGTCTTTCTGGGCAATGAGAGCAAGACCTTGACGGTAGAAAGCCTTGGCTGTGGTGTAGAGTATCAGCAAACACAAATAATAACGACAAGTCTCGAATACGAACCTCGGTCGGCGTCCGAAATGTCCCTGCGAAGAACGCGTTCTGTGTAGTCTACGGCGCGCTCTGGGTCTCCGGTCTTCAGGGCAGCGAGCGCACTGTTGAGCAGTAGTGGCCGCCAAAGATCCTCATAGGTTTTGCGCTGGGCTTCGTCCGTCTCATCTGGCAGCACGGGGTGTACGTCGAGGTAGTGCATCGCCTTCCGCCACTTCTTCAACGCAGTCTCTGAATCACCGTTCTTCCAATACGTTGCGCCGATCTCGCGCAGCTTGGCGGCAATCTCTAGAGCAACGGCGAGGTCCTGCGTGTCGTGTGTATCATCCTCGGGGTAGTCCTCGTAGATGTCACCATCGGGAGAGCTGGAGGCGTCGATGACAAGGCATGGGTCATCAGGGGAGAGCGTCCCACAGTCCTCGATGACGATTGGCGCTGTTGGCTTGTCGCCATCGCTCGTAGGGTAGTTCTCAACCTCGCGTACTAGATCATTGCTGAGCGGGGGCACCATGAGGGAGAAAAGGAACCGAACGTACCCACAGACTTGCCACGAATAACCTCGCCGAATACAACATGCTTGCCGTCTAAGTGTGGCGTCGGAACGGTGGTGATGAAGAACTGGGATCCATTGGTGTTGGGACCGGCGTTTGCCTGATCAAATGTCAGGAAAGGTTCGAAATGAATGTCCAGGAAGCGTACCATAGACAGGAGGAACGGACGTTCATGCTTCTCCGTGAAGCCCTCGTCCTCAAACTTCTCGCCGTAGATCGACTCGCCACCAGTACCTATGCAAACCACCCGTATATTGAGCCCCAAACACGCCCAATGAGATAATCCATATAAGCGCACCATTTCCAGCGGTAAAGTCTCCACCCTGGATCATGAACCTATGCAGATATTAGAGTAGTTCGTAGGATAAGTTCTGTGGCGACGACGCACTTCTTGATCACTCGATGGAAGGAGCTGCCTTTGTAGTGCAGCGGCTTTCCGGACTGTCCAACGCCCTTCTCTCCAGTACATAACGCAAGGAAATTTCCAGCCGTTTTGGGGACAATGTCCGTGTAAAGCGAGAAGACCACACGGCCAATCGGTTTGCCGCCGATTGAGATGTCGAAGAAGACGATCGGGCGGTCGGGTTGCGGTTCAGTCATCGTAGAGCACTCAGGAAGGTCGGCGAAGCGTTGAAGATGGTGGTCAAAGGGAAACTAGGATGAGCGTCTGCGGCTCGAAGTTCGAAGATGTAGGACGAAGGGAAGGTGCAAGAACTTTCGCGAGTCGCGCGCTAACACCGATCTCATCGGACGAATACAACGCCCCGAGGCCGGTCAATCTCTGAAGGGACCAAAGTCATTTGCTATGCCGGGAGCAGTGTATGTATCCTGCAGCTGCAGTAAACGGCAGTGCCACAGTCTGTTCTTTGACGTGCAAGGCGATATCGGCGGTCGGGGCGGGTGGCAAATGGAACTTCGCCGCAATGGGTTCAAATGACGTCGACCTCTCCGTTCACACGCGCGCCTACCATGTAACGGACGACGCAACGACTACAGCATGCGCAGCGTCATCGAGCGAGATATGTACGACAGCCACACCTCAAGCCAGTAGCAAGTGTAGTGAGCAACTACGTTGCAAAAGTACAGTATTGGCAGTAAGTAGCGTGACAGAGAAGATGAGTCCCGTGTTTCGGCGAGAACTATCTAGACGTGCCGACTCGATGTACTGACACGTCGAGAGCGCCGCATGTGAGGAGTTGCCGGTGATCATATCTGCATAGGTGTGGCGCGTGAACCGGGGCGAGAACCTCTTGGTACGCGTATATAACACTAACCTCATGAGCGTCCCCTCCTGCAACACAACAGTCACCCATCCCTCGCATTTCACCAACACACACACTACTTCCAGTATGACCCGCACCGAACGCGCTTCCTCGCCCCGTGCCCAGCAGCACGACCGCTCGGTGAATAAGGGCGGCGTCGACACTAGCATCCGCAAGGGCGGAGCCGGCGCTCATAACTGGGGTTCCGTCGATGACGAGGCTCGCTATGAGCAGCAAGGTCTTGAGGACGAGCGCCTTGACATCCAAGCTGCTGCTGAAGAGGGCGACGGCATCTGTGCGTACACTTTCCGTCTGTGCAACGCATGCTTATCGCTGATGATCGCAAACATCACACAGCACCCAGTATCAACGCGGGTATTGAGGACCAAGGAACGGCTTCGCGCTCGGTATATACACGTACGGTTGACGAGTCCGAGCGCAAGAAAGCTCTAGACACACGCCAATCTGCGCTCAAAAAGGGCGGTGAGTACCAAACAGTAGTACAGTCCTTGAAGCCGAGTCATCCGCTCATCTCTACGGCAGATGTCGATCTCGGGGACATTGCCCGTACTTCAGCAGCGGCCACTGGCGTTTCCCCCGTTAATGTAAGTTGCAAAAGCGCTCAAGTGATCACAACGAGCTAATAGCACATAGTATAATTCCAACCAGTGATTCGTATGCCTGAGCGGACCTGAGACATCGTCATAATGTTGTTGTCGACTTTCTTGTACATGTAATCTAGCAATCCGACGTGTTTAGCACGCAGGATGAATAAGCGATAGCGAGAATTTTTACAGGATGCCTGAGCAAGACGCAGAACGTAGTTCATGCGAGTCAGCGATGTGTATAGTGAGGCGGCGGGGTAGCTGCAACGTAGCAAGTTCAATTGAGAGATGATGGCAGCGGTCAAGATGATGATGGGTTGCCAGGCGCGGCACAAGAGGCGCCGAGCGTGTGCGCGCGACTTGCTTCCGTCCTCCACCACGACCATGGCCACCTGATTGTCCACTTCGCGGCGAGACTCGCCTGGACTTCGCTCACTCCTTCCTTGAGCCTGTGTTTGAGAACGGTTCTGTGCTGACCTTGTGCAGCTGAGGACTCGGGACCTCCGGAGCCTTATATGGGTCATTGCAGAGTAGGAGGTCCGGCGTCATGTGAAAGACCGGTTCTCGTTCTGTCTCTCCTTCCTTGCCGTATATCGATGAGCCATAACAAGGAAATCTGTGGCGGTGAACTCAATCGCTGAAACAGGACTTCTGTCACTGTTATGACTTCGAAGGCGTCTACCAGTAGCTCTTCTGTCTCCGATGAGGTCGGCTTGAGACGGATTGATCGAAATTGCGCCTCGTAGGGAGACGCCTAGGACAAAGCCTTGTCAAGCGTACGCTGCGCTATAAGCTACCTGCGAATCCACGGCGCCGGGATACATGAGCGCTACGACGCTTCGGTTATCTCTACTCTTCAACTGCCTAGAGGCGTATCATGCGATGCCTCCCGTAGACGTCCAGTCTGCGCATTAAGATTTGTGCTGTGATCGGTGCGGGGATGCGTGTGGCCTGCCTTTCCCCATATGTCGTATATGTGTACACGGCCATTCATTCGGCATCATCATCCGAAACGCCTCGGAAGAGAGTCGGTACTGTGGGAGGCACACGACGGCCCCGTTATACGTGTGGACCTAGGATGCGCCGGCGAGGTCAAAGTGCACCCCACTATGTCGTTACTTGCGCTGCTTCCCTCTATACCCTGGACGACTTTTCTGACGTCCTCCAGCGTCACTGATACGGAGGCAGTCCAGACCGAAACCCCAGCTCCTCCCGCGCACGGTGAGTTGCGAATCAGTAGTTTATGAGGTCACATATACTCACCCTGCGGTCCAGTGGTCAATGAGAATCGAGCCACGAAAGATCAAAACAAGGAGCCCTCGTCTGCGACTATTGAGAACCTGTCTTCCCCCGATCCTGCGTCTACCAGTGAGCGACTTGCCTTACAATCCTTCTCGTTAGGTGACCTGATGCAACGAATGATAGCGGCGCGCACCTCGGAGGTTGTTGGTTCGCTGGGAAGTAGACAGGCGTCAGCGGATCCGGGAGAAGGTTCATCGTCCCCGATAATCCCACAGGAGAACGGAACGTCAGAGTCGCCAACCGGTGGGCATATCTTGTTCAACTCCAGACGGTACACTGACGCGGATTAGTGGTCACGGGTGAACCTGCCCCGACAGGTCCGTCGTCGAAGACAGTCCCAGACGGGAACCCGCCAGCGGAGCCATCAGCCGGTGAGCATAGCTTGTCCAAAGTGAGAGAGTATACCGATACTGACCTAACTTTGCTGTAAAGCAGTGCCTGCTGGAGAACCTACCCCGACGATTCGCGATGATGACAGTACATCTAGTCTAGACTCGGACGATATCGACAAAGACGCCAGTGCGTAGTGAGCCGACACTATTGGACCATTATGTTTTGCACTGACAAGAAGTTTGTGAAATCAGACACAGCCGTCGATGATCGCACCTACAATGGCCGTAGACACGGGTCACGGAAGAGAACATGCGATTGCAGCGACAAAACCCGGAACCTGGTCGTCTGCATCGACGGTACTTCGAATGAATTTGGCGAGAAGGTGTGATCTATTTGCACTTCTTTCGTGTAAGATGTTCATCGACTGCGTTCCCCACCTACAAGAATACGAACGTCATAGAGCTCTACAGTCTTATCCCCAAGGGCGAGGCAGACAATCAGCGCACATACTACAACAGTGGTATTGGGACATATGCCGGTCCGTCACGGAGGTCGCTGTCAAAAGTGTTAGGCACAAAGCTTGACCTTGCCATCGCATGGTATTACACTCTTACAGCATCCTTTCGCAATTTCTGTACTCAACCGTATGTAAGGAACTTCGAAACGATCGTCCTCGACGCTTATCGTTGGCTTTCGGAGACATACCATGATGGCGACCGGATCTTCCTCTTCGGTAATGTCCAAATCTTCTGTAGCTGTCTAAATCACGCTCATCTCCCGGTTACGTAGGATTCTCTCGTGGAGCGTATCAAGTGCGAGTACTGTCAGCCATGATACACAAGGTGGGCGACATATGAGCAAGTGTCTCAGGTTTAGAGTTACTCCTAACATCCTCGCAGGTCGGACTGATTGATCGTGGTAACGAAAAGCAAATACCATTGTATGCATAGCGAATCATGTTCTCGACCACGACTCAAATATGCCTAGCGCTTATAAATGGTACACCAATACCGATAACTCGGAAGAAGAGAAGGAGCACTCGTTCGCCGCTCGGGTTGCGAAGGAAGCACCAGCCTCCCTTGAGAAGCCCTCTGCGCCAACGAGCTCAGATCCGCGTAGTCGCATTCATACTGCGAAACGTTTCAAGGAGGTCTTTTCGCGCAATGTGCAGGTACATTTTGTGGGAGCTTGGTAAGCATCTGTCACGTAGCACGTCAAGCTCCGGTGCAAAAGGACTGATGAATATATCAGGGATACTGTATCCTCGGTCGGAATCATGCGGGGTCGCAAACTCCTACCGGGAACGGCCGATGGTATGGAGCACGTTTGTTACTTTCGGCACGCCCTTGCTCTAGATGAACGACGAGTCAAGTTCTTACCAGAGTATGCATGCGGTGCTATGGGACCTGTGCAACCCAGATCAGACCTACAAAAGAGATTCAGCGACACGAAGGAGGTCTGGTTTGCAGGAACTCATTCAGACGTGTGAGTTTGATGTCGCCAGTATTGTTTCCGGCTCGTACATCTGATATTGTACTCAGCGGAGGAGGAAATGTCAAGAATGAAAACCTCGATAGTGCGCGGCCCGCTCTCAGATGGATGTACGCAGAGGCATCGGTAGCCGGGTTATACTTCGACCTCTTCAAACGCAAAACAAAAGTCAGCGACGACGGTAATATCAAGGTAAACGAGTCATTGTCCGGAGCATGGTGGTTACTGGAATACCTCCCGCTCCGACGCTTGAAGTATACGACCAAGGGTGACAAGGTGGGGAAGGAGACAACGCGCCGGTACGAGCATTTGATGGAAGTTCACTCCTCGGAACTTGCCTTACATCGCGATCTAGATTTCATTGTGGGAACGCGCGTGTTATACAGAAAGGCCAGAAGATACACCCATCTGTCTGGCTCTCCGAGAACTTGTTGACCAAGTATCTTCCACGCGCTCGTGTACACGACTCAACATCGGACGAAAAGGTTTTAGAGGTTGAGTTCTGGCTTAGGATGGAGTTTTGGCGTACCATGAAAGGGCGGCAGGACATCGAGGCAGACGGTACAGCTCTAAATCCGTGGAAGGAAGTCGATATCTATGAGGTCACGGCTCATCTCGTTCAGCAATACACCGCCACTAAGTATGGAAGGCAAGAGGATAACAGACAGAAGACATTGCTCACTGCGATGCGCACCCATGCAGGCTCAGGTATGCTACACTTTTTCGATGAAGATGGATCTGGCTCATTGAGCATTGATTGCAGTTGAAGGTTGGCTGGCGTTGAGCCGCGAGGTCACCCAACTCTTGGAAGAGGACAAGCTTGTCCATCTATCCAGTCTGTGTGACATCCTTGAAGTTCTCATCAAGACCTCGAGCACTCCCGTCAGCTCCGTCGGTTCCTATAGGATATTACGTTCCCAAATGTTGTCTCACTTCCAGGACGCGACCGAGCATGAGAACAAGATTGCCCGCGACTTCTTGACCAGATTCTCAGACTTCCAACAAGGTATGTCCCAATATCTTCCGCAAATTCCCGGTTAACTGATACTGTCTCAAGTCCTATATGGCCACACGGGTGTGATACGTGATCTTGCATTTTCTTCTGACGGCAAGCGCATCGTTTCGGGTTCGTACGATCACACAATTCGGATCTGGGATGCGAAGTCGGGTCAGATGTTGGGCAAACCTTTGGAGGGACACACCGACGCAATCGAAACCGTGGCGTTTTCCCCAGATGATAAGCGCATCATCTCGGGCGCTGACGACACCACGATACGGATATGGGACGTAGACTCTGGTCTCATGGAAGGAAAACCTTTAGAAGGGCACAGGGACCCAGTCATCTCCGTCGCGTTCACCTCGGACGGAAAGCGCATCATGTCAGGCGCGAACGACAAGAAGGTTCGGATCTGGGATGCTGAGACGGGACACTTGGCGGAGAGCCCGTATAAGGCACCCAAGGGCCCCTTACGGTGCATCGCGTTTTCTCCAAATGGCCGGCGTTTGGCAGGGGGATATGAAGACACGGTCCGCATTCGGGATGCGGAAACGGGCAAGACAGTGCTGGCGGGGGCACCCGTGAAGGGACACAATGCTTCGGTCCATGTTGTCGCATTCTCATACGACGGAAAGCGCGTAGTTTCTGGATCCTCGGATAAGACGGTCAGGCTGTGGGACGCGGAGACGGGATTGACGATCGGTGATCCGTTTGTGGGGCACGACGACTCGGTCTGGTCAGTTGCGTTCTCTCCGGATGGCACGCGTATTATCTCAGGCTCGGCCGATGGAACTATCCGCATGTGGGACACGGATACAGGACTACCAACACCAGGAGAACCGACTAGAGGAGGCAGTCTAGGTACGGTTTGTTCTCTTGCGTTTTCTCCAGACGGCATGCGTTTTGCCTCGGGCTCGGTAGACAATACAGTGCGGATATGGAGCATATTGCAGACACCCTTCTGATGAGGACGAGTAACTACACATGATGTTAGTCTTTCAGATAACGTACAACATTGAACATGTCTTCCCGGCGACCAGATCTGAATCGGTGTGGCGCGTGAGCCGGGCGAGGCCCTCTTAGTACGCGTATACAACACTGATAGCTTGAGCGTCTCATCTTTCAACATAACAATAACGCATTCCTCACGTTTCAAGACACATACTGTCGTCTTACAGTATGACTCGCACTGGACGCGCCCAGCAGCACGATCGCTCGGTGAACAAGGGCGGCGTCGACACCAGCATTCGCAAGGGCAGAGCGGGCGCCCACGATCGAGGTCCCGTCGACAACGAGACTCGCGAAGAGCAGCAAGTCCTTGAGGAAGAGGGCCTTGAGAGCTAGATTACTACAGAGGCTGGCGGCATATGTGCGCGCAGGTCCTGTCTGTTCAACACCTGCTCATAGTTGGTGATCGCGAACATCGCGTAGCACCCCACATCAACGCGGGTATCCTACGCCTCTGGCGACAGCAACGGTACGCAGATACTGAAGGCGCAATACTCGCGCACGGCATGAGGTCACCCAGCAATAACGCATGCAGGTACTGAAGTCATCACCACCGTTCTCGCCTGAACGCGTCAAGCCGCGAGCACACGCATTACGTGTGAGTACTTCCTCTTACGAGCTCAGAAAGATCAAGCAAAGACACCATTTCATAAGGAGACACAGGTCACAGGAGGGCGGTAGGGTACGCGGTAGAGGGATTCTGGATGTGGGGGATGGTGGTAGCATGTCAAGGTCGAAGACGCGGTGATTTGTGCTCAAGCGCTTACCTTGCCTCTTCCCATCATGCCCACGTATTCAACACCAGCTCCAACTGTACATCCTAGCTCTATTCTACGGCCCATTTAAGAAAGCATTCCAGCGGGTGTCTTGTGATGGCGCTGAGCGACTGGGTCCTCTTAGTGGTTAGCCACCCGGAGTGTGCGCCATACCATCCACTCCGTCTACATCCACTTCTGTGCCGAATTCGCCCTGGAGATGCCTTCTCTCCAGCGGACCATCGCCGAGGCATTCCAGACCGGGATCGCTGAGAAGGTTTCACGCGATTTCACTTGCTCGGTTCACGAGTGGCTTCACTGCGGAGCGGGCGCGTACATGCGGAGGGAGGCTCCCTCGACCATAGCCCATCATCACAATCTCATCACGCCTCTCCCCCCTGTTTCTTGCGACATCGAACAACGGCACACCACGAGCATACCGACACGGGCTCCTCGTCCACGCGAAACACTGCATGACAAGCTAATCGCGAACCCCACGGCAGAATCCTCTCGCCCTCATCGTCCGCAACACAACAAGGCGCGTCCGGCCCACCTCTAGCATCTGCGACATTGAAGTTAGGGACGCAGGGGACGCGACAGCCATTTGGAAACTGTAATCTCCCATCGACGTTCGTCTCCGATGTATGATCACCGTCATGAACGGCAGTGCTGCTGTGGCGCCTACCATCGTACGGACGTATCGACATGGTTCGCTGGTCTGGGGCGCGAGCGCAGTCAGAGTATCAAGGTCCTCTACGTCTGGGCTTCTGTTATCCAACCCGATTAGTGTCGTGGAGGAGAGGCCAATTCTGCCCAAGGGGCTCAGCGAATGGGATTGCGGTGGTACATTGACGCCTGGGAGAACTCTCTGATCATCGTACTCGGCGATTCCTCTGCGTCAATTATTTCGGCCCTACTATCTCGTGGACACGTGCGGGTAGGTGTTGATGGGCCACGACGCGCTTGAGTACTCTCGGAGCGGCCTTGGGACAGCGCCATCGTTGTCACGAACAAGCTCACCAACGTTGCTGCTATCACTATACGCTTCGCTCATGTACGTTTGCGTTCATTCAGTTCCTCACGCCTAGTCGCTCAAGTCTTCTGTATTCTTAGTCTCACAAGCATGGATCGTGTGGCGAGCGCACGCCTGGCCGGGGACCGGCGAACTTGCGAACTGGATGACGGACAAGATGGATGGGTACAACTACAAGGAGGACTCGTACGTCTATCTATCCTAGCCTCTTTACCTATTCTGAATGTCCTTTATAGCAGACACGCTCGCGGTTATACGCATTCCTCAACTCCAAGCACATCGACGGCTACACGACGACAACCCGCACCCTCTGCGACGCCGCAGCCAGCCCTCTCGAGCTCTCATGTGCCACTTCCGCCCTGCTGCCGAAGACCCTACCTCACAGTCTCGCGCCGTCAGCGACTCGGCCATATTGGTTGGGCAGCGTGCGACGGATGTGGAACTACGCTAGTTTCATCGGCTTCGGACGCGACTCACAAGGAGGTCGTGGTGTTGGTGAAGTTGTGGGCCAGATGTTTATCAGAATAGGATGTCGCGGTTGATCAATACAGTTCTTCGTTGTCACCTGTTCGTTCAGCTTGCAGGTCGTAGGGCGTGGCGCTCGCAGTCTCGAAGGCATGTTACTGTGCGTAGATCAGGGCATAAGGGTACCATCGACTGCACCCGTGTCAGTCATTTTTCGCGTTCGCGCTCTGCGAGGCTGGTGTTCTCGAATGCTCATGGGTCTACGACGTAGTTAAAGACGCTGCGCGTATGCCCAAGCCCACGGATGGCGGGCGTGAGCGCACTCGAGCATCGTCTAAAGGGGGTCTGCCCGAAACGTCAATATACGCGCAGGCGTTCACGAATTTCTTCACCAGGCCGGGATCATTCAGACGAGGGAATATTTGGGGAGGAACAAGATTTTTCCTTTTGCCTTCAGCACGATCATATGATATAACGGGAGTTTATACATTGATCGGGTCGAAAGCTGCTGATGCGAAGTAGTTGAGGAGTACAGCATAGAGGATGGAGAGGTCGTGAACGGAAGATGTCGCCTTTAGCGCTGGAGTAGCGGTGCCACTTCCTTCGAGGTTGAGGCTTCAGTATGTATACACTGACTTGCTGTACGAGCCCTTGTGTATTCGACGGAGGTATATAGCTGAAATGTGACGTTACTTGAGCGATCCAGCATACTATATTCCGGCCCTTGTTGTTGACATGGATTCTTGTTGGTCGCTCGTGTTATCCCTTGGTACCCACGACGACCGACGACAGAGAGGACCGGAGGATGAGAGAGAAGTCAGCGCGATGAGCGTGTGAGACAAGGCTGCACGAAGGCAGGTACACGGTCGTACTGACTCGCGCGCGAGGCTCGAGGCGCGGGTCTTTCCACGACCACCATCTCCATCTCAGCCGCGACCGATCTTTTCGCTACCACCACAGTCTCTCAACACAATCCCCATATCTGATCTCAAAAGATGCAATCCGGCTTATTTCTGGGCTCTCAAATCGTGCTGAGCGCTGTAACGCCGGACACCCATCCCCGCGCTCTCGTCTGAAACCGTGTTACACTCCCCCGAATGGGCGACTCTTCCATCTCCATCGTCCCAGCTCTCCATCAGAACTCTTCGACAGGCTCATGAACTGCCGCCTGCCTTGACACGAGCCCCGGACGGCTTTGGGTTTTAGCCGTCGACATCTATCGAATGGTTACATAGCGCGAGGTACTCTTAGGCTGTTCCGACGCGTAAGTATCTATTCGTTGTGTTACATCTGGTCGCAGATTACTGACGGATACATAGCTGTTTGCGAAACGAATCGGCGCGTCTGATGATTTCCGCTCGAGAAATCCGCGTCCGCTGCCCACACGACGTCAATGGCGAGTTCGCGCGTGACTACGGCCACGGCAGACTCGGGCGCTCCGATCAGCCCGCGACACGGTGGGAGGAGGAGAACGTGCGCGCTTCGTCAGTGTATAGCGAGAAGGACGTCGAGGCGGAATAATGAGATTCCGTGGGCGTGGAAGGAGTGTACGGCGTTGAGGATTCAGGAGGCGTATGATTTTTGCTTGACGGTGCAGAGGCCGGTGTCTATGGTGCGCAAGGAGGCGACGGACGCTACGGACGCTACGGCTGAGCAGGACGCGCTTGATTTGGAAGGCGTCAACCGTGTACTCGCCGCTGTCGGACTTGTGCCTCCCGCCGCGCAGCACCCTTCGCGCCGCCCGATGCTTTCGCAGGACTTGTTCGAGAGCCCGCCACACGACGCCGAGCGCGTCGAAGCGCAGGAGGACCACCCTACCGAAGGCCCATATCCTTTCCAGGGCTTCGGTCCACACCGGGACTCCTCGTCGTCGCAACAAGTACCGTTCCCGCCGTCACCAGGTCGAACAGGCGAGGAGAAGTACGAGGAGTACGAAGAGGAGGAGAGCGTTGAGCCGCGAACAAGCCAAGACGTACCGTCCTCCGGCCGCACCTTGAACTCGATGTCCAGTCTCGGTCAACCCATACCCGGCCGCTACCCCTTCACTCTCCGCCATCCGGCCTCGCGCGGCGGCAGCGTCTCCTCCATGGGCGCGTTCACGGCGGCTACGCGGTCGCACCATACACCGCAGAGCAAGAGCACGTCGTCCAAGACCCACTCGACCGGCGGCTCGCGCATCTCGCGCTCGACTGGCAACGCGGAAAGCTCAGATTCGCCTGCCAGCCATGTCGGCGATTCGTCGGGCGCGCCCAGTCCGCAGGGAATAAACGCGCATATCCCGATGCCGCCCCGTCATCCTGCTCCGCGTGCTGGTCGTGGTCGCGCTGGCACTGTACCGATGCCTGTGTCACCTTCGCCGGCGTACTATGGTCGCGCTCGAGCTGGTACACATACGACGAGCGCCGAGAGCGCCACCGACCTCGAGCCGAGCATCGTCTACGAATCCGAGTTCGAGGATGGCGTCGTCGGTACCCTCGATCTCACTGGTATGACGGGTAGCTTGGGTCGACGCAGCGTGCGTAGCGGTACTGGTGTAAGTCCTAGCGCAGAGGAGCGCACGACCGGTGCCGCATCACCTTCGCCCGAGTCCATCCTCGCTCTCGAGCGTGAGGGCGAAGATAGCGTCGGTCTTCTCTCCGCTGGTCCAAGCCCGCGTGGTTCCAGCGTCGGCCTTCGCTCGCGCAATTCTAGCGCAGGTTCACATTCACGTTCGCGCAGTGGCTCGTCGCGCTCACGCCACGGGTTTGGCCGCTCTCGTCACGGCTCGCATCTCTCGGTATCCTCCGCTGGGATTGGCATCCGCACCTCCAACTTCCGCGCGCGCACCACTTCCCTCATTCACAGCATCGGCTCGGCGTCACGCTGAAGTCTCGAGCGTGTACGCTCTCGCGCGCAGAGCCTCGTCCGTACTGAAGATCTGGACGAGCGTTTGAGTGCATCATTCGACGGCGAGCGTCGTGCGCGTGAGGGCGCCGGGTCGCCGTGTATGTCCGAGGCTAGCGAGCGCGTTAGCTCTCCGGAGAACTACACGTTCGGCCAACGGCTTGTAGGCGCGGGTGGGTTGCACAATACTCGGCCGCGTGCGCCTACGGAGTCGAGCAAAGACCCGCGCTCGGATGTTGAGGCGGAGGCTGAGGCGGATGTTGAGGCCAACGGATCAGGATCTGGCTCGGCACCTCATTCCCAGCACGCGCATGGCCTGCGCGAAGCTTCGTCGAACGTCAGCGGTGGCTCGCGTCCTGAGTCGTTCTCAGAGCAGACTGTCTCTGTTCGCATCCAACCCTCTGATGAGGAGCGCGAGCCGCAGACGCCCGTCGTCGATATTCCTGGCCGCCAACAGCAACAGCAAAACCTCGGCCTCCAGATCCCTGGTCAACAACGCCTCGGCATGGGCGTGCGCGCCAGCAACGACATGCTCGGTTCCGTGGCGCGCTCGTTCATCACGCAGCCGACTATCATGACCCAGCAGACCGACTCTAGCGGCCGTACACCATCGTCTTGGGGTGACGACGACTACATGCGCGGAAGCGCATTCAAGCCGCGTTAACGAACAAACGCCCACCTCGCTCTCACGTCTGATCGTTCACGACCCCAACGCCTGTTCCCGCCCACGGCTACGGATCTGGATTAACTCGTAGCTCGCCGCCGTTTACGAAGATTCTTGATTTCTCACTGTTCTCGCTCAACCCAATCGCGCACCTTGCTGTCCCCTTTTTGCTAGCTCGTCACGTCCCATTCTGCGCACCCCTTGACGGTGTGTTGGCAACCTGTACTCCTTGCTCTTTTAGACCGCGTCTTCCACACTGCCGTCGGCTGTTCGCATTTGCTTGCTTTTACTTACTTACACACCCTTCACGCCGTTTACCGTCCTCATCTATGCCCTCCTCCCTCCATCAGATATTCCTTGCTTTTACCTCAACTACCGACTGCTTCACCTGTGCGATACCTGTACGCTCCTCACGACATGACGTCGTTCCTGCCCCGCTCTCCTCCCCATCGACCCCTCGATATTAGTAGTACCCCACACATTCTCCTAGCCTAGCACCGCAAAATACAACGATAGTTTGAACCGTATGACGCGAACGAGAGCAGCCCGAGTGTATAGCAGACAAAAAGACGTACACGAGCAGTGAACGGGGAGTTTGCGTGTGACGCGGAGGGAATACGGGCGCGAGCGTGACACGCGAGTACGCCGTGACTTGACCTCGGACCACGACGACAACTCCACGCACTCCCATACTCCTCTCGGCTCACTGCTACATGGTTCAATTCAGGTCTCTGAGTACCATCAACTAGCGTGCTGCTGGATTTACTCGGGCCCGCCGCTCTCGACGAATGGACGACACGATTTGAATCCGCCGGTGACTCGCCTACACTGGCTGGCGTTCTACGCACGACTTCGACGTACATGCTAACGACGGCGGCTTCCTGGGCAACGGCCGCAACAGTGTCAAGCTCTCAAACGCTACCCACGGTGGGATCGTGCTCATCGCGGTCTGACATCCTGGGCAATAGACAGGTGACGCGACCGCCATAGCGGAGGGCGGCACTGCGCTAGGTGCGTCGTACACCCAGGGAGACTTCGCGATTCATGCTAATAAGGCTAGCCACAGGTGTACATACTTGACAGTGCACGCGCGCGTCACATAGCACGCAAACTCGCTCATGCCTGACAGTGACCACGCCCGGGCATCACCGTATCACTGTGGCTAAGACGGCTTGCCATAGTATCACAGTACCGCTTCACCGGCACGCCACCGCACACGGAATCACGACCACGGCACATCCGGCAAGTGCACCTACCACACCAGACGACGTCTCCAAACTCCACATCGTCTCAGTGGTTCAAGCAGGCCACGGCCCACAGGAACGGCAACTGACACGACACCTGCTGGAGACAAGCACTAGCAAGACGGCGTGAGGGTGGGCATAACGCCATTCTGGCAGAAATGTTCAGCTTGGGCAGATTGGCCAGAGTCGTGACTGAAGGAGTTATTACGGGTACGATGCCTGCCTCACGACGATCGCTTGCATGGGGTCGAGTCCGGTCGACGTATTGATACTTACCGTATATAGAAAATAGATAGAATTATGCGTAAATAATAATGCCACGTGAAAGTGAGACTCACACGCGACTGCGCTCGAGATAGTGCAATAACCAGAGAAAGAGACGAACGAGGAAGCGAGACAGAGTGTGTGAAGGGGAGTGTGTGAAGGGTAAAGTGGTCGTGTGTACAGTATGAAGCGAGGCGAGTGGAGTGTGTAGTACAAGATGCAAGTCTGTACTAGCTGTACTGTATTGTCAGGTGGGTTCGGGAGTAAACACGGTAGTTTCGCTAGCACAGATCAGGTCCGCGGAGGGTAAAAGATAGCTTTGGAGTTGTGGAAGCAGGGTTTGGCCGTCAGGACACGAGACTAGCTTGAGATATGTGGATTGCGAGTCAGGTAGCAACACAGTTCCGTCCAAAAGCGGTAGCCGGGAGTTGAAATCGTCGAGTGGAGTGTGTCGAGTCAGATGTAAATGTGTAGCTGAGATACTTTGCAAAGGAGTACGGCCAGATGCGAGTCACGTCAACAAGGTTTATGTGTCTCGGAGTATCGAACGGAGTGCTTAGCTGTAAGAAATGTTCCCAGAGTATGGTGTCGACTGGCGGTTGCTATCTAGCGGGTGTCTGGACTTCCGCGGAGATATGCGACCAACTAGACGGTGCGCTCCGGGAGTCGCCACTCGAATACGAGACGGTGTCGCTTGCATATTGCGGTGTCCCGGCTACAGGAGATGTGGCAGAGTGCTCGCTCGATGCTGCAGACAAGATATCCATGGCACGGCTTTGCTTTTCAGTCAAGACCCGGGTGCGAGCGGCCGAGCTTAAGTGCAATAACCAGAGAAAGAGACGAACGAGGAAGCGAGACAGAGTGTGTGAAG